TGACCTGCTGGCAACATCCTCCCGATGCAGGCCAGGATCCCATTGGCCTTCTTGGCCACGAGGGCACACTGCTCACTCATGGTTAACTTAGTGTCAACCAGGACTCCCAGGTCCCTCTCCGTGGAGGTGCTTTCCAGCAGGTAATAGGAGCACTCGCGTCGCCCAAACACTGGCAGTGCGGGGTGCAGATGCTGCTCTCARGGGCCTGCTCTCAGTGCTGGTAAAACCCTTCTCCTGCCTCGGCCACTCACATTTCAGAAAAGAGGCTCGGAAGCATCTCCAAGGCTATTGAGGGAGCTTCTCATATTTTGAGAAGCCAGATCCTACAAAAGCTTGAAACACGGGTGGGTTTCTCAAGGCTCCGTTGGTTTAACGCTTCTTTCCTGGGTGTGGGGGTGACATTTCGAAAGGCTGCAGTCAGCAGCACAGTAACCTCCCCCAGGGCAATTGCAGAACACCCTTTCCTTGCACGGTGCAGAGCACTCGGCGTGTGCCCTCCSCAGCTCTGAGGAGCAGTTCCCGCTGTATAAGGGAAAGGAATGCTTGAATGGGGAGAACAAGGGGACCGGAACTCAACTGTGCCTGCAGGGATGTAAATCCTGGAGGAAGCAGCGCGGTTGGCTGAGCACATAGAAGGTCACGGGCCCTGGAAGATAAACCGTCGGCACTGCCGCGTTATGCCAAAAAGCAACGTCTGCCCTCGGCGGCGTTCTTGAAATCCGCGGCTCCCAGCTAAGCATCCTCTGCTTAGGCTAAGCTGGAGCAGTAAATCAATATCCCTGACAGCAGGAATACTTGAAAACTACATTCATCCAGTTCACAGACTGTGGGCAAACCAAAACTCTGAGGGGTGTTTGACACACAGAGCCTGCTCTAATGAAAAGCACAGCCCCTTGCGTCTCAAACATMCTTCCTCTGGGCTCCAGCCCCGTCTCTTGTGCTGATATTTCTCCTTAGCTTGCCCTGAAACCAATCTGATGTTCACGCCAGGAGAAAGCTCATGTTCACTCAGCGTGAACAACTAGAGCAGCATCGAGATGAAAACAAGCGATACGGTGAACGCTGTGAAGAGAGATAAGTCTCTCCTAACATAAGCTCATAACATAAGCTCAAGTAATAAGCTTCCAGTAGGGAAGTCATCCGTAGGAAAGACAACAGTCTTTTGAGTTCTGCTCCCTTGCAAATTGAGAGGATCCCAACTGCACCTCTTCTTCATTAGAATAAGCCAAGCAAGCTTTGGGAGCAAAGGTAGAATAAGCCAAATAAACAAAAGGGAAAATAAGCTCCCTTTGGATGGAGGGATCCCCCAATCAAAGGAAATTGYTCCACCTGTAAAATTTCCGAGAACTCCACAATTTCTGAGCTAGAACCAACATCTTGAGAGCCACAGCCAAACTCTAACATCACTGAACTCTTGCATGCAGACTGTATGCAAAGAATGAAGCACATGTTTCTTCCAATTAGTGATCTCAATTAAGAAGCCAGTTATTTGGCTTCAAATTGACCCAGTTTCTAATTTTCATTCCTAGAGTACAAAACAGATAGTCCACACCTAGAAAAGCTTTCATTGACTGTACGGTCAATCACCAAATGAAGTCTACTGGAGCCAAACCTTGGAGGCTCTCCCAAAACTCTCCTTAGGAGGCTACACTGAGGTACATCAGCATTCTTCAGGATCCAGCTTTATTTGTATAAAGGTTTATAAACTCAGGCCGGCTTAGAGCCTTTATTCCTGCTCTATAACGTAACAGTGCTTCTAAGTTTTCAGCTAGTGCTGAAATGAAGTATTGGTTTCTGAAGGCATTGACCTTTTTAAGCATGCTAGGTCTAAGCTTAAATGACAAAATAAGGTCTCTGATTGAAAGAAAATACAGGTTATCAGAATGCAAGAGATAGATAAGAAATGAAAGAAAATGGTGATGTTAAGGCTCATAACTCCGCCTGGTCTAGTTGATGCTTTTTGAGTGCTTAAAGTTACCAATGACGGCAATTAGGCAGAAGATGGGAAAGGAGGCATCCCATTCAGCTCCATTTCTGCCAGCCCACTGCTCTCTGCCATTTAACAGGCAATTACCACGTAAATCACAGAAGCATTTCTCTTTAAAACCATTAAATCCATCTCTTTAAAACTCTACACAAGTGTGACAGGGTGGTCTCGGTGGGAGCATGCTCTAATTTCTGACAGACACTACAGGTTGGAGAGGAGACCACGCTCCCTACAAGGCAGGGAGCTGTGAGCTGAAGGCTCAAGCATCTGTGAAATCTAAAAGAAATTTTTACTTCTCAGTTTCCTAATTGAGAAAGACCTTATGCTACTTTACTGGCTTAATGCTTCATTTAACAACCAAATTGCGCAAATTAAAATAATAAATTTTGGGCTCCCCAAAGCCTCAGTAGATGCTCTGACCTTATTCTCTGGAATTCCTGACTGTGACTGCCAGTCTCCTTAAAAAAAAAGGAGAGGGGCAGAGTGGGCTTAACCTTATGAAAACAGGGGGAGGGAATTTAAATTCAGGCACTGCAGACCAATATATGCTTAAATTAGGATTTCACATAAAATCAATGTTGGGGCGTACCCTATCGTGCCCTTTGTCTACAGATAGATAAAGACATAAGGCTCCTAAGGTCAATGGTGTGAAAATTCTCTCTGCCTTAATTCTGTTCATTATGGAAAGGGCCCCTCTGAGCATCACCCTCTCAGCACAAGGGCGAGCAAGGGCTGTGAGGTAAATCATGTCCTAAGGACGAGCACAGCTGAGCAGACATTAAGCCTCTCCTGTAAAGGGCACCTTGTAAAAGGGCTTCCAACAGAGTAACGAGCCCCTTGTGGGACAGGGATACCCTTGATTGAAACCAGCAGCTCACAGCAGCTGCTGAGGGCAGCCTAGAAAAGGCTGTTCCTGGGTATCCCGTGCCCTTCCTCACATAAACATCAGTTGCTTATCCATAAGCTCCAGTCCCCAGCACTGCCACGAGGGTGCTGCAGCTCCAAGCCTCTCCTAAGCTTGCACTAACCCTCGGAGCTTGGCTGGGCAAATACTCCCCTAAGCACCGCGGCCGTGCAAGGAACAGCAACGCTCCARCACCGATGGGCTGAACGAAGGTGCCCGAGTGAGGGGCCCCTTTCATCCCTCTGCTCCGCGCCCCCCTGTGCCACCCCGTCTGTATAAACGCTCTTCTCATCCCCCAAGAATAAACAAAGCAGCGTCCCGTGACTGCCTGCGCTCGAGCCGTCACAGGGTACGGGCTCTGCTAACAGCAACGTTGCTGTTTTGCAGCGTGAAGGGTGCCAGCAGGAGCAAGGAGTCGGTGCTCTGGGMGGCAGCTAAGCCGAGGAGCTTCTGCGGCTTCAGCTGCGACCAGCTCAGCGACTCCAAGCAACGAGGCTCCCGCAGCAGCGCGGTGCTGGAGAAGATGAAAACGCGGCCCTCGCCTCCTCCCGACTACAGCTCCGTGCTCCTGTACGCTCAGCCACCCGTCTAGGTAGGCCAGGAGAGATGCACTSAAGTGAATTCTTCTTTTTCTAAACCCCTGCCAGTTTAAACATTTTGACTTGAGTAATTCTTAGCGACCCTACTATTAAAAAACTGCCCTTGGCTTCGTCTCAAGTGACCTGCTTTTCCACCAACTGCAAGAAACGTATACAAAATATAGTAAGATACTAACGCTTAGGCCCCGGCTTTCCCAGCACTGACGCCAACAGCTGCCACTAAAAGCGCCCGATACTTAAACTAGAAGGTCACCATTTCAGACAAAACCAGTTCAGTGGTTGGTGCCTGGCACCAGGGTTATTATTTCTACAGTCTTTAATGCTACAGTAACTCAGCCTCTGTTCAGATGTTCTGCTCAGGAACACCCTGGAATTTGCCCCCATAACTTGGGCCTACAGGGAGGCCACTTGCGTAGTGCTGGAAAATAAAGGACTGTTGGGGAAGAGGTGGACAAGAAGGGGACATTCCGCTGTTTTTAGGGAAAAAATATTTGAAAAACACAAGGGAAGGCTAATGCTTTGGGGAGTCTGCATTAGTTAGCTGGGGATGAGGCATGTGAAAGGTCTTACTCCTTTGGGTAACCAGAGAGAAGAGAGCAGGGGGGTCCTGCAAGGCCAAGACTGCGAACAYGAGTGGCAAAGCACCTTCGGCAAGGACACAAAAGAACGGAGATGAGAGCCAGGGCTGCAGTAACAGGGCCTAGAGATCACCTCCCTTCGGTCAAGCCTGCTGAAATCAAACAAACGCTCTTGAAGTTTTGCACTTTTTCAATACACCAACACACACACTGGAAACAAACAACAAGCTAAACACGTCAAGCCAAGCTTTGTCCGCAAGATCTAGTGGACCTTCTAACATTGCACTGATTATATCTTATTTATGGGAACCTGTCCGAAAGGACAGGTTGGCTACTAAACTGCATTTACTTTAAAGAAAGATTTGGTTATTAGAGTTTGAAAGGTTTAGTTAGAAATAAGACAAGCTCTTTGGAGAGTTAAGGCAGCTTCTCTATGAATGCAGTTGAATTTCCAGGTTAGTTAACAGTATATATGTACAGTAGAAGTGTATCATTTATTTGCAACAGGTTTTTGTATAGCATCTCAAAGGAAATGAATGTTCTTCATTTGAGAAGTGTAAGGATGCGCTATCCCCTCTTGCCTTTGAATGTAATATTAAAATGGCTTTTGGCCAATTAACAGTAGCACTGAGGGTTTCTGGATCAGCAACTACTGTCCAGTCTCAGTTTCCTGGGGCCCATTATAAACACACTAAAATGCTACTTAGAATACGATTCTGACCACACAAAATTCAATTTAAGGATTATGAGCTTGAACCACTAATAGAATGAAAAGCATGTCCATTTTTTATTTTAAACCTTCAAAGCTAAAAATACTCTTGTGAACATGAGAATTACTACAAACTCCTAAGCTACAGAGAGTCCATTCTAGATCTTTCTTGTCAAGAGATTATTGATTTTAAAGTATAACCTACTGCCCTGTCTCTTGCTGGTGAAGTGTATTCTACATTGGTCAAAACAAATGGAAATTCAAAGCAGCGTTTAGCTCCAACTTAGCTGTAATAATTGAGTGATAATGTATCTCTAAAAGGAAGTGTTTGCACAGTGTAAATATATAAATATGCTTTTTGTGCATAAATATTTAAGAAAACTGGACTACAAAAAGTACTTTTATATGATCTCTATGTTTCATTAGATATAACTCACTTTTATCTTGCATTTTTCTATCTTAATATAATGTACTCAGACTGCTGAATTCATATAATAAAGTTTGCTTTTGAAAGAGTGTACACAGATCTGCCATTTACATCTGTCCATGAATCCACCAAAAACACATAAAATGTACCCTTCCTACACAGCAAAGCTGTGCAATAAACCAGACTCAGTACATCTAAGAGATACTTACTGCCATCCAGAGCCAAATAAATAAATAACACAAACCCTACCTCCAGGAAAGTCTACGTTTCATGAGGGAGAAAACACGTTGACAGATATCCCCTTAACTGCCCCTTGGTCACGTCTGCAGCTAGAAGATGTGGGAGAGATGAAAGACAAGGAGAGCAGCTACAGCATCATCAACCCAAAGTTGTTCTGAACCTGCTGGGCCATTAGTGCCTCCAGCCTGGTAGAGGTTTCTTCTTCTCCACGGGCATTCTCCAAGTCCCTGCTCCTGAGACCAGAACCTGGTAAAGCTGCCACCACCTATACGTTCAATAATGCTCTCTGGTAGACAACACCAGAGGATCAGAGGGGACCTCCAAGCCATGCTGCAGCTCTGCAGAAGAACTAGGAGGAAGCTGAGAAGAAACCTTCTCCCGYGAGGTAGGTGAACATGGCAATACCTCCCACTGTAGGAGGTTCTGCACCTGCTGCTGGCCACTAGCAACAGAGAGACTGGACAAGTGCACCACGAAGCCTGCTGCAAATTCAGTCATATAGTAAATTTTCTACACAACAGTGCAACTCAATGGGCAATGACTCCACATGGAATATATGCAAGAAAAATGTTAACACTATCACATCGTGAAACTCGCACAAAATTTGGCATTACATAAAGATGGCTGGATGGCAGAGAAGATTTTAACCCACCACTAAATCACCTCACCTTTGCTGATTAACACTGAAGCTGTCAATCACTCCCCATGGGCAAGTTTTTAGAGAAACTAACACACCCTTGGGCAAAAAGGCTGAAATATGAAATGATAATATGAAAATATGCATATTTTTAAATACAGTTTTCAGAATTAGGACTTGCCTAGTAAAACAGAATTGATCTGACAGAAGTAGTTACTGCTTTGACTTGGGAGTTAAGGAAGTTTGTATTACTACACTTCTGGTGCACAGTGTCTATAAATTCTGGGATATCTGATGTTCTGTAAGTGACAAACACTAAAGATGCTTTGCGAATCCACATGGTTTAGACTCCACATTGGAAACAAGAGCGAATACAAAAGAACTAGAACAAAACCTAATTCCAGCACTGAAGTTGTGATGATGCTGATCCAACTTCCATACTTCATATGCCCAAAATAAAACTACAGTGTTTCTGGTATTCTTTATTAAAAATACTGCTGTACACATGAAGAATGAAAACAGGATTAAAGATGAGTAACACATATTGGGATCATGACATTAGAACTTAACATACCGGTGCTTTTTAGGGGAAGCTGTTGACACCTGAATTACTGAAACAAGGGCAAATCAAAAATACACAGGTACCCTCAACGAAATATTTACAATATAGTAAATACAGCAACAGAATTTAAAATAGGTACAAAAATTAAAACGACCAACATCACGTGATTTCAAAGGTTGTCCCTTCTGTGCTTTTTATCTGTGAAAATAGGAAGGTCAGAATTACATTTCCCATCTAGGGGGGCATCTCCTGGTGGTAGTATTATTATTATTATTWTTAGATACAGATACACAAATCTTCCTATGAATGGATCAAACTACAACTTTAGGACAACCTTCTAAATGGAATTAAAATGGGGTTGAAGGGCTCTCCCCCCAAAAAACACCCAGGTTGAACTTCAGACTGTTCAAATCATTCCCAAATATGGACCAAATGAAATAAATAAAAAACATTTTTTTTTTTTAAATGTATTACCTGACATCAAATATTTTCTGGCTGACATTGTTTATGTATGAAAACTTATTAGCTGTCTACCTTTTTATTTTTAAACCAAGTCCTGAGGTTACTAGGGGCTGAAGCGAACGGACATTATGCAGATACACACAAGTTTGCAATTTAGACATGTCTCGCAGAGGGTGATTTGCTGGTCTAAAAAGGATGAGAATTCAAGCCCTATTTTACCCCTGCCTTACACTTTCACAAAATATTGGTCCACAAATTAAATTTTCAAAGGTTCCCAAACCCCACAACTGAACAGATGATCCCCTTTCATTTTCAAAGAAAACAATACTGGAAAAAACCTCAGCCCGCTTATAAATTAAGCATTTCATATTTCTTCTAGAATACAAGTACTTCTTTTTTGTACAAAAGAATTACAATATGATTTGTCAAAAAACATATAAAAGACAGCTGCTCTTCCTCAAATACATGAGCTAATGATAAAAGACTGTTTTGCATGTTCACTTCTCAAAGTTCCTGTTCCTTTTACATTAAAAAGAACATTCTGGCAACTGTGATCGTTTGAATATTAAACATTATGCTCCTTTTAAAATTCATTCGATCAAATGCAACAATAATCGATTTTTCAACTCAACAACTGATGCTACCTAATGTGGATCCAACCACATTCTCTAAAATGTGTAAAGCATGTCCCTAGTCTTCAAAGCTTTCGATGTGAAGAGAGTTGCTTTTCTTGATGCAAGTCTCAAGGCGGCGGATCATTTTAAAGCTTATAAAAGTGGACAGAGAAATATTAAAAACTTCTCTGAAAACTACAAATATTGAGAATTATTAAAAGTGATGTCAGTAACATCAGTTGCAAGTGCTTAGAGTCTGTCCTGACCTTTTGAGTTTCCACATTTTCTTCATGGTGAGCACCCAGTGCTATTGAAACATTCAGTGCTGGGAAAGGATAGGTACAGTCTTCACTACTGCTTTAAGAAAGGAAATTCCTACATATTTGGCAGTCTTCAGTATCAAAGTGTAGGTGTTTAACTACAAATCCCATAAATACCCAAGCATGGAGAACAACTGCATGTCCGAATATTAGAAAGTTAACTGAGGAGGAAAATTCCAGACTTTTGAGACTGAATTACTTCAGGAATATTCATGTGTTGAGTATTATCAAAAGTAATATTACTTTGGGCTAAGCAGTGACTGCAAAGGCACAGCAGATCATTATCCCTCCAGATTCAGGCTGTAAAACTTGAAAAGCTCTTGATGCCAGACAACTGCTGTGTTTAGTTAATCTTCTTTTAACAGTGTCTTTGTATCTGTATCCAGTGTAGCGTACCATAATAAAGCTGTGGTTCAAAGAACAGAACTTTATACAAAAATTATATCGTAAATAAACCTAAAGTAATACACTCCTGAAACTTCAGGCATTTAAACACAATTTCTTTAAAAAAAACTATTAAAAAAATTGCATAAATGTAAATGCTTCTGCCTAGCATGAAAACGTACAAACAGTTTTTAAAAGGCGCTGGTTGTGTTTAGAGCAAATTTGATATGCTCCTTAAATCATAGATGCTTCTCATGATGCTATTTTCGTCACTTCGCTTAGACAATATTTAAATCAAATCAGAGGGGATTTCTTTCTTTTTCCTCTTTTTTTTTTTTTTTTTTTTGACAATTCACTGATACTTCACGTGATTTCTTTTTTAAAAAAAAAAAGTTTTGTCGTCTGGTTTGTTTCTTTCTTAAACAGTGGGTGGCATACAGAGCTTGCATACAACACACTTTTACAGAGGTTACAAACTAAACAGTAATTGATAGAACACAATTGCTATTAAATTATTTACCTGGTCCTTTATGCTATTCTGGGTGCAAATAATATCAAAATGAATAAATTTTGCTATATCCTCAGTGACAAAAATGTATCCCAGAAATGTCCTTGCAAAGAGTTTCCCTTAATAAGTATACAATGTGGCAAAACTTCAGAGATCAGAAAAGTCTTAAAAAAATTAAAATTAGTGCATATACAAGTGGAAAAAATAAAAGCAGGAACATCATGCACCTGATGTGTTCCTTAATCTAAAATAAATTCTTCACAGATAAAGCCTCCAATGGCAGCCTTAGCTCTAGGATAAGTGAAACATTCTTCCCTTCAAGTAACAGTGTACCTGACTGAAGTGCAAGCAGCTTTGCTCATCTCCTGTTTGTTTCCCAAATGTGAAATGAGATGACAACAACAATTCAGCTGTAGTGCAATTTGCTATTGGTTAAGTTCCTCAGCAATGTCCTGCATGCTTTCAGCAAATACTACAACTGACCATTTGCGGCTGCAATCAGTTCTTGAAAAGTATTTTCAAAGCAGCGTTTTAAATCGCTGTAAGTTACCACAAGTACACTCTTCTCATCTCTGGAAATGAGGCTTATTTTTTCTGGCACACCAGCATCTAACTGTAACAAGAATGCAAAAGATAAAATAAAAGACGTGTGAAAGAAATGGCAAAACATTTCCCCAATAACAAAAGCAATCGATTTCTTGGCAGGCCCCGTGTTTTGGTGCGGCTCGGATCCGCGAGCAGCACSGAAAGGAAGGATCCCAGTCGCACCAAAACATGGTGCTTGCCAAAAAATTGAGACATTTTGGTCTTAACCTAATGGACATTCCAGACCCTTGGTTATGTTACCACTGTTTTCTTCCCTTTTCACAGAGCTAATAATCCTGCAATACTATCTTCCACTGGACAGAAAACCTAGTATAATTTCCATATAGCTCCTGATGTACAAAGACATGCTCAACATTACATTCCCAGGTGATTTTACAATAGGATCCACAAGCCTCTTGGGAAAGTAGGTAAATTATTTCTTGCCCATTCTAAAACAAAGCGATTGATGGACCAACCCCAAGTAGTCTGAATAACAGTAGAAACCCAAACCTCATATTCTTGGCAATATTGCAAACAAACTGATTCCCTGATCTTCTGTATAATACATTTCCTTCCCCTGTTCTAAAGGAAAACATTACCTAGTTCCAATCCATAACCAAACAAATGAATCAGGCTTAAGAAAAAAACAAAGATTAGAAACCTGCTTCAAGATTAGCTTTCATTTTTTTCTGACTTGTCAAATTTAAAATTAAAAGTAATAGAAGAACTAAGTTACATGATCTTCCAAGTGACTTCCRAGCATCTTGTTACACTAATTTCATTAAAATTTCTTATAACGGGTGATGCAGACTTATTTTGTCTTAAAAATCTATTCAAGATACATGAAGCTACACAAACCTCTCTTATGGAAGCTACTGATTTCCTTTCATTAGGAAGTTTCAGAGACAGAGAGAAAAGTGGTGCTTTTAGATGCATATGTATGTTAGGTATGTACCGTTAATCCTAACTCAGAACATGGGAATAGAGTATAGATATCTATAGTAGATAGAGTAGCTGAACTTCCAACACTGTCTTTATGATCCCTTCACTTTACAAAAAGTGTTCATCAATGGGGAATTGTTGGACAWTTTTTTCAGGGCTGTTTTTGATAGCTGATATATTAATATTCCTAAATATGTGACACTATGAAATTTTTTGTCCCACAGTAAAAGGTCGGGCAGAGGTGAGTAGGACACGGCACTACTGAGAAAAATTTTGGAAAGACAAGCCCAACAGGATTAAATCAAAATACTGTCATGCTGTGATGAAAAGGAAAAGAAAATTAAAAAATAGATTTCACATCAAGTTCTTGTTCCACTGGCTGCTGTCTGGAGCAATGTACTACATGAACGAATTTCTACATTTTTTCCCCCCCCCATCAAAAGAGTGTTCTGAACAACCCCCTAAAACCTACAACTTCCCAAATTTAAAGATTTTACTTTAAATAACTTCAGGACAGGAGAAGGACAATCAGCTTTTAATTCTTGTAGAGCAGGATAAGACCATCTCTCTTTCAACATCCCCTATAGCATTCTGCCAACATTAAGATGTGTGTGAAATACACATCTATGTCTATGGTTCATACTGATACCATTTGATAATGATGATTTAACTTAATGAAATTGATATATGGAAGACTTGTATTAAGAAAACCACCTGTATGGGTTGATTTCTGTCCTCCTGTGGATCTTTTAGCTGAAGAGATTCCAAAAATGCCACACTTAAGGCGAAAAAAAATACTGTATTGCACGTATGTGTATATAAATTTTAAGTAAGAAAGGTGGCTCTCAGAACACAGCAGGAAAGGCCAAATAGCCCCTTTTCTAGCACACATCATGATCTCTGAGGTGCTTCCAGAGCTCATTTCCAAAGCACAGTTCTGCAGGCCTTACTTTTGTGTGCGGAGCCCACAACCAYGGAAGAGAAGAGCCTCTGTTTTAGAAGGTCAAGCCATGAGCATGAATAGGACAACCCATTCTTGGGCACAGTCTCTTCCCTGACCTACAAGTTCAGGAATATTCCTCTCGCTGTGGATCTGCGCTGGTCTCTGCTTTCAAATCACCATGGCACTGCACTGCATTGCCTAAATCAACAGGCTTTTATTCCATTGATTTTCTTTAGTCTTATCAATCTCTTTAATGTCGTTTTTAWAGTGACTGCAGACACCAATCCATAAGATGGAAAATGATGGTTAAAACTGCAAACCAGTAATCTGACAGGAGGTAAAGCTCATTTAGAGAAAAATTTAACTGCAGTTAGTCAGATGAGTCAGATGTTTCTAGTGCCAGAGGATCTAAATATATTCTAATTTTTCTCAAAGAGAAAACTGGTTGTTATCCTAAGTCTTAGAGAAAAAATAAATAAATAAAAACCCATAAAATACTGTGTATACTGTCAACATCTGCATCAACATTCTCTATGCAGCAAGTGGAATGACCAAGAAGCTATGAAAAAAGGATGAAGGAGCATCTTATTCTTCTATGACTTACTAAAGTTTGGGCAAGCAATGTCAAGTAAACTGAAAGCTGACCTACCAGTTAAGAAAAAAAATCACATGCTTTTTAATTTATGGAGCAAGACACGAAGCTCTACAGCTAATGAAGACCTCCTACGCTTCCCACTATTAATCGTGAAAGTGCCCAGCTGAAATTTTGCTAGTGGTGCAGTTTATGAAAAACTGCAAACAGCTTTGTTAACTCAACCTTGTCAAATGACGGGCTGGAGAAGCTACAGAAATACCAGAAATGGGCTTAGGGTTGTATGTCTCAGGAATCTGCCTCGCTAGCTAAGCCAGTTCTTGATTCTGCATGAAGTGCTAGTGCAGCCACAAGCCCTCCTGTCTCCTACTCTGGGCAGCACAGTTTAGGAGTGGATCCTCTTGCCTTATACCCACTGTCTGTGGTACCTGCATCAGCAGAAATCTCCCCCAGCTACAGGGTTTTTATGGATCCTTTATGCTGTGTTGAAAGACCAGAGTAGCATAAAGGGACCAGCATTGCTTATTCACAGTATTCAATGCGTTCTAAGATGAACAAGTTAATATTATATATCATGCTGTATTACTGAATTCCAAGGTTTAATATTAATATATTACTAAGTTTATTTAAAATAACCATGAATGCTTGCATATTAGTTTAGTGATTACATTGCTTTCATTCAAAATAGGGGAAAAATAACCATCAGTTAAAGCAACAGAATTAATCTGCCAGCAACAGCTTGCTTTGCAGTGGCACGTTATTTTAAAGCAAGTTAACCAAAAGAATTTGTAAAAGCTAGCACAAGTACAGTGTACCTTGTTAAGACATGAGATAATGTGACTGAGGTCAATCCAAGGAGTACCCGCTTCTGTCACCTGGTGGAAAAGGTGGTCTCGAAAGAGCTTTAGTAAATACCTGTCTCCAGTCTCCGACCACGTTGGGTCTTTCTGAAACCTGGTGTAAAGCAGAGACTTGTGTTAGACCTCAAAACACACATGCAAGAGAAACAAAGAAAACTTCAAAATCAACAGAAATCATACACCGACTCCTCAAACTAACCTAAGTGATCTTACTGCTCTGCTAAGACACCTGTTATAATTTGCAATTAAATTACAGTCTCCCTCCTGCCACAAGGATAGAAGATGACACATTCAAAGCCCGTGAAGCTAATGTCTTCTGCAAGGGACTGCAAAAAAAAAAGTAAGGGAAGAAAGTAGGAGACATCTTTACCAAGCTTGCCAGATAAATGTGAGAAACCAACATTAAACACAGCTGTGTTTTAACCCAAATCTACTGAACAGGGTGGAAAACAAACCACAAGCACTTAAGTTGTTTTACAGCAGTTGATGAACAGTAAACTGATAATTAAGTAGCTTAAAACAATTATCCATTTCATTTGCTATAGTTACAGAAGGCTATTGATTGCTTCAAAAACTGTTTTCAGTCACAAGAGACCACTAAGAATCTGTAATAACAGAAACAACTTTGATGCATATTTTTGCATTCTTCTCTCTTCCTYAACTTAGTGTTATAGTGAAAGCTGCTTCTCTCATTGTGTCAAGGTGTCTTAAATACTTTTCTTCTTCAGGGGCACAGACAGGGATCTTGAAATTTATGCTAGAAGAAACCTTGCATTACAAACTGAGTCTTAACGTACTACACTATGAAAACAAGTATTTCTTACTCTGGCCTCTCATTGATTGTTCCCAATTTTGCTAGAAGCCTAAACAACCTTCCATTTTGCACCTCCTAGAAAACAAGAAATAGGTTATTAGTTGAAGTTTCTGAATGAAGGACAAAATTAAGATATCTATGAGGAAAAAAGCTAAGCAAGTAGGAATGCCAGTGAAGCACAACGAATCACAATGATTTATCCTATGAAGATGGCACACATTTTCAGAAAGAGATCAAATGCTTTATTCCGTGTATTAGTAGTCAAATACTGATCTTTGCACTTCATATCCAAATTATAATGTGGAGATTTAACAAACAAAAACATTTCACTGCCTCAGCAGGAACTGGATCAGACAGATCTATTTCTGTGTGGAAACATAAGTCTAGTCTCTCATGTCTGTACCTACAGGCATGCTAAAATATAGTAAGGTTAGCAAGAATAATCTGCTAAAATATATACGGCTATCAAAACCAGCAGATATAAACAGTACAACAGTTTATTTCATCTCCCCTCTTCTTGATTACCTGATCTACCAACTTTTATTGAAAAATGCTTTGCAAGACATTATTAGTAAATACTATTTACAACAATAATATCAGACTGTAATTGGAATTCCAGTTGATTCCAAGTATCAGAAAAACGAAGTGTTTAAAAAAAAAAAAACCCAAAACAAAAACAACAAAAACCCTATGGTAAGGCTGTTTATTTTTATCTTACAGTAGTATAAATTCCATCTCCACCAATGATGGAGTCAAAGTAATCATAAAAAACTCATTCAAGAGACAGAAGATTAAATTTGTGAATGCTTATAATATATACAGTTGAAAAAAATCATACATTTTTTCTGTTTTGGCTAAGTTAGAAAAAATACACTTATATTTCATCCTAGCTTACTSCAAGGTGGATTAATCTAAGTAAAAGCTGTTCAAAGCTGGCAGGAAATTTTTCTCATGCTAATATTCATACTCTCCAGTGGCCCAGCTATTCATGCTAAGCTGCATCTCACCCCATGCATGATCATATTGATGTCAAATGAATTCCATCTGCAGCAGATTGCTGCACATCGCTGCGCAAACAAAGTAGGTGAGGGTGATAACAGTTTGACCCTCAGACATTGATTGTAGCTACAGTTAGGGACTGACAGGAGAGACAGTTAGGGACTGACAGCCCTAGCACAGGTCTGCCTATCCAGCATGTAAACCTCCAAATAACTTCTGGTATGTGGTCAAAGCCACATCTGAGAGGGTTACTGGCTTGCAAATTCCCCATGGTTTCAGATAAGCAACAACACAGGCTCTGTAGTKGCCCGGTGGTCCCTTTGCAGGCTTGGTAGCCAGTGCGGCTAGGAAAAATCCTGCACAGTGGCCCGGGGATGGGAGAAACTGAGGCTTTGGGTACTTGAACACTGCAGCTCGGAGATGATGGGAATATTAAGGGTGAGGAAGGAAAGGGACAAGGAGTGATAGGGTCAACTGCTGCAGCAAATAAAGGGGCATATGAGTAATGAAAACCCACAGCTCCAAAAAAGCACCAAATTATGAACTAAGTACCAAACACCTCCAGCTTCAGAAGTTCAAATGGCTGCTGGATGCTGGGAGAACATATGGAGATATCACCCATGCTAGCACCATTCTAATGCTCTTCCCTAAACTGCTTSAGGGCAGTAACAAAGAAAGGATACCAGGCTGGATGGGCCAAAGTGATACTGCAGCTCTCGTGTTACTAAGAATACAGTAGTACAAACAAGTTACAGTACAACAGCTAATTAGCAACTACTATTTATCACTGCCAGGTAAACAGCTGCTGGGGCCATATAACAGCCTGTATCTGTAGCAGCTCTGCTCTGCTGATAGCAGTTGCTATCAACACCTGACTGAAAATGAAGACTACTTAATGCAGATTAGAGGACAACCTCCATCCTGGTCATGTGGAAGGGTCCATCTGCTCAAGTTTGTTCAGGTGCATTGGGTGACCTTGACATGAAGTCATCTTGAACACCATCAGAGGAGGCACAGTGCTGTACTCTGCTAGAAACAGTGAGCACCCCTCACTGAGGGAGATCTGCATCCAAAGGAAACCTTATCCTGCTCTACTAGAGCACTTTGCTTCTGATAGATCTTTGATAACCTTTCACCAAGGAAGGAGAAATTGCTACTTAACAAGCCAATGTCATAGCAATGACAAAGCAGTCAAAATGGTCAGAAATCCTGGCCATTTAGAGAAAAAAAAATCATTAAATCCTTCAAAACTAAACACTCTACCCTATGTAAACCTTCAGCAATGCAAAATCCTGCCACGTATCTCAGTCTTGTGATCAATGGCTTCTGAGGAGCAGGTAAGGTAAAACTCAACGACCTTCCCGTTRAATGTGTATTGATAGTAACACATGAACGCAGCACAAAGCATTTCCTTGAGCACTTGATATCTTGACTGAATTTTACAGATTAACTAGACCCACAGAGCAATATGGGCAGATTGTGGTGCAAATGAGGATGACAACCCTTACTTCCATTATTCAGCATTCATTTGGAAAAGAAATAAGGAACAGGATACCAGCACTTAAATGTATTTTWAAAGTAGATTTGCTGCAGTACCAAACTTCCAATACAAACTATGTTTTAGTGTGTGATGAGGTATTTACTCTTGGTAAATACACTGCCTAATAGCAGTGGATCTTGGAGTTTGGGGAATTTGGTTATCTCGAGTTGGGAGTTCTTAACTTTGCAGGCAGATTGCTTGGGTTATTAAACAGCCTCAGGGAGGAGAGAAATGGAAAGAGGTCCAATACTACTTTCGGGTGCAGCTGTAGCAATGTTGACTATAAAGTCTTCCTGTAGGAATTACTGTGATTTACCTTTGCAAGGTCTTCCTCTATAACATCATTTCGCATTTGAGCGGCATCCAATTGAGTATAGAATCGTGCACCAATCATAGGCATGATATCGTTCACACTGCGAAGCCTGTTTTGGTCAGTCAGCAAATACCTGCCAAAACACGCCCCCCCAAAAAGGTTACTTTTTTTTTTTTTTTTTTTTAAACTGAGGAAGGGGACAGACATTACTACTTTTCCCTCATAAACTGTAAGGGGGAAGGACAAACACTGACTATACCTGAAAACAAACAGAAAATATTACACAAAGGAAAACTAGCACTTGAACCCACTGGTCCAAACAGAGTCCCTATTTCTGACTATCTTCCAAACCTGTCAGATACAAGACTTGGATACAGCTAGTAAGAGCAACAGGTTGTCTTCAGTACCAGATACTTAAAACACTGATGGCACATACCTTGGTTTTCCATTTAAGTCAAATATTAATAATTTCTTATTACCAGCCGTAACAACACTGAARGCATTTTTAATAGATATGCCATAAAATTACACATTATACCAGCTAACTTTAAATGGTAATGTTCAGCAATGCATTATCTGCACATGCAATGCCAGTAATTATTACTCTAATCTTACCTGCATTTGATAATATTATTTTGACATTTTCATCTTTACTTTGTAAAGTGTAATCATTTCAGAGATGCTTTTTATAAAATGTAACAGCAAACACATAATATCCAACTTACAAAATCAGATTCTTCAGATCAGAGGAATAGTTGATTGTCACTAATTCCATCGCTTTCTGCAAATTCTCTCTCTGAATTCCTGATAAAGAATTGCAAGCCAAAGCCAACACAACTTTCCCCAGGGAGATCAGATCTGCTTGCTAGCAGGGAAAACAGAGATGAGATGCAGAATAAAGGTAATTACCACCTGTAGYAATAGATACCATCTAAAGAAATAGTACTTCAGTAACCCTATACAAATAAATACAACAATTAAAGTAATTAACATGTACAGAGGAAAATCTGTCCTGACAACATTTTCTAGATATTATATTTAGTTTTAAGTTATTATAATGTAGCTGTTCTTAGTTTGAAGACAGCCCCAGGGAGAACTCCCACAGTGAGCAGAAGCTCTGAGAACAGGTTCTCCTAATTACTCGCACTCACCTCTGAGGGGGATGGAGGGGCTAGTGACAGAGAGTGCAAGTTTTCTCAATATGACACGCAGAACAGTGTGTCCAGAGTTATTCGTTAAGCCAGAAACAACCTCATGGAATATTTTCTTTACTTAGTGCAGTCAAGGGAAAGTCTCAGAGCAATTCTGAAGTGAAACGATGGAGTTCCTGACAGTGTTCATTGTCAGAATACCTAACACAACATAATTCCTTTATGTTTATGGCTACTTCTATCCAAACCGAGAGATACCAATTCTTGCTATTGCTATCCTTGCTACATACTATCTTTGCAATCGCTATCCTACGAATTTAAGTTTTCCAAAAGTTGGATAGTGACTTTTTACCTCAAAAGGTTTTCATCTCTAACGGCCAGGGTGCAAAGATATGAACTAACTGCCTGAACTAAGTGGAAAGAAATAAGCCTGTCRATCTGAAATATGTAGCAGCATCTCATTTTCTGCAGAATTTTTTTAGCATCACCTTCCTTACAAATGGAGCCTATTTGGCCAATTTTAATTTTTATAGGTTAAATCATCACCAGAAATTCAAGTTACACCAATTATTAAAGCCTTCCTCCAAAAACAGAAGCCTAATTTAGCAGCAGATACTAACATTCAAAATTAAAAGCTTCCTGATTTTTTTTCTACAGAAAGTCTTCTAGCTGCAGCACACAGCTTGGCTGCACCTTAAATATCTGCAGTTTTCCATGACTTATATCTCCTTTGACTGACTCTAAAGTTCAATCTGAAGAACTCAATTTAGTATTTTCTTTTTTAATAGGAAAAGAAAAAAGCCACTGAAAAAAAGATAATAAAAGAATACTGTGGGGAGGCTACTGTTTAGCAAAACTGCCATGATCTCCACGTTCTGGAGAACACAACATTCAGCAGAGAAAGAACACTCTGGTTCCAGAAATGCACCTTTTGTCCAARTGTTGCTCCTTATAGAAGTAACGACAACACTAAGTCTTGCCTAGAACGAGCCAAAGCACAGACACCCGCAGCCACTGCGAGCCCGGGCCCTGTCCCCTCATGGCGGCCGCCCCAGGGCGGAGCGGGCCGCCCCCTGCGGCCATGTCGCCTCACGCTGAGGCGCTGGGCGAGGAAAGCGCCTCCTGCTCTCTCCACATCCYGCTCTCCCCATGGCGGTGGCTGTGCTATGATTAAGCATCAAAATTCAAGCATGAATGAGCTACATGATAAGTGTTGAGAGGCAGGTTATGGGATGGAAAGCAATAAAAATGGAAAATAGGATGTGGAAAATGGAGAAAAAATATGGAGCACGTAATGGTGGAAGAGAAGGAAATGCAGAGGGAGCTGCATTTGCTGCACAAGGATTCCCAAGGACGCGTGTTTCTTTGTAGGAAAATTCAAAGAGGAATTAAACAGGCTAACAACCCACGCGTTGGTAGAAATCAAAACAGGTTTCCAACTACCATCCAAATCTACATAGACAGGGCACGGAATTTCCTAGGAGCTGAAGTAGACCTCATTTTGGTAAGGCAGAAATCCACATATCACTTTGAAGCCTCATCCTCCCTTTTATCACCTGTACAAGTTCAGCTCTTCCTACTTCATGTAGGAACAACTACTATTCCTTCTTCGAGTGGGGACACAAGATGACAACCCAGCATTCCTGCAGCAAGGAATACTAGTCCAAGGTATAGATGGACATCAGGTACAATCATCTCCCTGCTTATACCTTACATTGTGCTTTTAACAAATTTATGGATCACATTAATTCCTTTTGCTCTAGRCTTGCCATAGGGCTTCTATTGTGACCACTAAGTTATCTAAGTTAAACCACAATTTCAAAGTAAAATATTCCACCTTTTAAATCACAGAATGGATGAGGGTGGAAGRGACCTCTAGAGATCATCTTGTCCAAAATCAAGGTTACTTTTTTTGTTCAAAAGATATAATTTGAACTTAAACAATGACCATTTAAATAGTAAGTCAATTCATAATTGTAGCCTGTAGAAATTTCCGTTTAAGTTCCTGAGAGTTTTGGAGCTGTGCTAGTAAAGATTTTATCATATAAGCTGCTGAGAAATCCTGAATGGCATTAGACTAAAACCCAATCTACTGAAAACCCTTTTAGAAAGGGTCCTCCTCATTAACGTCTCAAAACTAATTGAAATAGCCCTTCCCCCCCCCTTCCTTCTGCATATGTATGTGTATGTACAAATATGTACACATACATACATCTTTAATATTAAAGATCTATGGCACAAAGCCAGAGGCCCTGGAGATATCTATTTCTATACAACTGGACTTATCAGCAAGCCATAAGCTAGTCAAACAAATCTTATTTTTGATTAAACCCGATTTCCACAAAACCTTTGAAACTGGCATTATTTTTGCTTAGCCCATCTTGTTAGAGCTCAGAAGGAAATGTTTCCCTGCTTTGCTTGGMTCAAAATCAAGCCACTCAGTCTACAATTCTGTGGATTCACTTATTCTTTTTAAGAACTGAAAGTACACTTGGCAGTTGCTCCAAATTCCTTGTTCTTTTTATTATGTTTTTTTTAAAACAGTATCAACGCTCCAGATACATCCTCAGCTGTTGCCTTTGAATTTGGGGGAGGGTTCTGTGTGTGCAAATTATTTTGACTTACTGAATTTAAAAATATTTACTCTGAGCAAATACACTCATATCTCTCATTAAATCAATAAAGCTTCTATTCTCTCTTCATATGGAAGAGCATTCATCTTCACTTCTTTCGAAATACAGCAATATTAAATAACRTTTTCTGCATCATCACATAGTTCTAGTATCTGTATCTAGTAATTAAGYGATATGACTCAAGGATTTTTTTTAACAGGTTTAACCATCCTGTTTTTAATGCAAGTGGCTATGCATATTTCACTGAATTTTCTTTTTTTTTTTGTAATCTTCCTTTATTGTTGTCCTTATTTAACTCTTACATGATCATAATAAATTAATCCATTTAACACAGTTTCTGAAAAACAGACTGTAAAGAACAATTGCATTCTTTCTGCATCACCCCCTTCTTAATCTCTTTTGAGGCCAAATTCTTTCCTATGTATATTAACAAGGGGAAATAGCCCCAAAGTGACAAATGCTCACAAAAATACCTTCGTCCATTGAGGACAGCAACAAGGAAATGCATATTAGCTGGGCAGTAAACCAAGAGATAACCTACATTTTTAACAGTCACAGGAATCCCAGAGGAATTCAGGAACTGGGTCATGGATCGAGAGGAAAAAGGACAGGCAGCAGCTGTTATTTTGTAATTTTATCTGGCTAGGGCACAGAGAGGTGGAGTATGATAAATGCCTCCTGGATTTCAAGGAACCCACACAGTCCAGAATCTCTGTAGGAACAAAACGGATTGTGAAAGCCCAACTCTTTCAGAGGAGGTGGCAAAAAGAAGTGTCTAACTCCTGACATTTTCTGACATTATCTATCTGTTCCAGGTCCGGAAACTTGAATAATTTTGATACTAACAAAGTATAAAACATGCCAACAAAATCCCTACACAAATCAAAACCAGGCAACCAACTCGTTTAGGACCATCAAGTGGTGGGCTATTAAGGTGTTAAATGCTTTTGAAAGATGGAACATAAAAATCATTAAATTTTAGGAACAGAATCCCTTACATCTATCCTTAGGATCTCTTAATTACTCTCCACTAAATGATGACCAAAATGCCCTCTGCATCAATATCTAGCGGGGGAAGGGGGAAATATCCTTTGATGTACTAAGTATGCCAAAAATTGCCTACTGTATCATTCATACACACAAAAAGCTGTGTTGTGGGTTGAGGTTTTGAATAAGCTAGTTTATGCCTGGCCAAAGTTCAAACATTTCATTTATTACTGGAAGACTGTGAATGAGCAATTTTCCCAGTGAATAAGCTCAATTAATAAAAATAAATTAACCCCCATTCCCTAGCGTGGCGTTTCACTCCATTACTGACAGGGTCTGAGATGCCTGCTGAACCAGGGCACTTCACCCCTAGGGGAAGTTGAGAAATGAGGCAACGTCACTGTCACTATGCACAGCGATACTCAGATGACCGAGGAATTTGTTAACACTAAAGGGCTTCTTCTCAATTCAGAAGTTACACAGGATCCACAGTTCTAAGAGCACCAGGAAGTAGTGAAAGATTAGAAAACTAAACAGATAGGCTAGGTGCTTTTATGAGTGAAGAARGCCTAAATGCATCCAGTTAAATATCTCTTAATCATCTGTGAACAGAGGCTTACTGCTCAGTTATTTTTGCTAAGGTAATAAACACTGACTGATCTCAAATTCTATTCACTGCAGAATATGACCCCAATTCTGTGATATTGTCATGTATCTATCAAGTCCAAGATCTCTGTAATGTTCCTCCCTTTCCTTTAGGGAAGGAAAAACTTGTGATTCACACTTTTCATTCAAGTTTGTTACAAGTTATTTTACAAGTACACTGGRGTACAGTTTAATTAAAATACTTTGCTTTCAGAAAGGTACTAAATTGGTTTTCCATTACAAGTAAGCTATCTTTAAATTCTCTGTTGTCTTACCTGAAACTGAGCCATTAATGCCAGAGGATTATTTTGACTGTTGTCAAATGTTAACACATCAAAGATTCCAACACAATTAACTCGTAACCTTTAGGAAAAAGAAGGAAAAAGGAAGAAGTGTAATTTTGCTGCTTGGTTCTTTCTTTAAGAACCAAGAACCAATATTTACAGCAGCAAATGCTATATTACACACACAAAAGAAAAAGGCATCTAAGTATTTAGGAGGCAAACTCCTAGTATGTAGAACATATTAATTTTATGAAGTGATACAATGCAACAGCCAGCCCCCAGTTTAGAAATAAATCAACAATAAATTCACAGGAGCAGAGCTGAAAGGGCTTTGAGGAAAACATGCAGGTCTCTCTGAACTGCATTTAATGAAATGTAAAGGAGATTGAATTTAATTGGCACGCTAAAACTTTTAAAAGAATTTTCTAGTTAAATTCCATAATTTCCCTAACAACAGGGCACGACCATGGTTATCATGAGCAGACACCACAGCAAGGAACCTACAAATMACTCTTTTGTTACCTTGTTTTGCCAGTTACTAGAATCTTTGTGGGATCCATAACTCGGCAGGCCAGGCCCGCGGTGTGAATGGTCCGTAGCGCCGAGCTGAGCTGCACAATATACGCCCAAATCAGAGACTCGGGAAGCAATCCAGCATGCTGCCGGGGCAGAGGTCCGTCATGCTGACCTGGAAGCAAGGGGGTTTAAGCAAAGCTTAGTATATTTTCAACTAGACAATTAGCTGGCTTATTCATTTCATTCAACCTGAAATCAATGGACAAGGAGAAATAAGCCTAGTATGCTTTCCTAGATACTTTTGGAAAGATAATAATCAGTTTTAAAATGCTAATAATTCCTTAGGCAATATGTTTTTCACTCTCATTCAGAAAATAGGTACTGTTTTTTAAATTTAGATCGGATGTTCATTACAAAAAGGGTAATTAATACTTAAAAAWTAGAGAAAATGGGTGGCAAAGCTCCAAACTATGCAGGTACTCCAGGAGCAAAAATACAAGTATTCTAACGCAACAAGTATGTATCATAATACGCACAATGAATCTGCAAAAGATCCTGTTTTGCCTCCTTTAATACTAGGAAAGCATAGAAATTAAATATTCTATATCCTCCAATAAAACATAAAAAAAACCCTAATTAATTTCAAACTGCATCATAAATCAAAATGACAGATATTGTGGCTACTTCTCACTGAACAAAATGCCATGTATGTCCAGCTGTGATCCAGCTCTCTGATAAAACATCACTCTGACCTTCATAGGCTGTGTGAACTCAATGCATCAAATCACTTCCCAAAGGAATCACAGTCCTCTCCTCAAAAAAGAGGAATTAATTTGTTGTAAAGCAACACCCAAATTGCATGCTGCAAACCACTATCTCCTAAGATATCTTCAATGAGGAAAAGTTGCTCCTGTTTATGTGGCACAAAGTGGAAGGAGAACGGAGAGCCCATCCAAAAGGGATCTTAATTTTAAAATGAGTGATATGAGACATTTCATAAAGCAGACTCTGTATTGACACCGTTAATTCTGGGACCAGGAATATCAGCTCTATTCAGGGCAATCACGCAAGCATCTCATTCAGTTGTGAACTGACTGCAACCTTTCCCCAAACACCTGTTTTTGGTTTCCTGTCCCCACTGCAAAGCACATGAACATTTCTGTGCACTTGCTAAATATGTTTTTATAYATTTCATATATTTTTTTAGCAAGGCCACAATGATATATATAAAACAAACAAAAAACTTTAGTTCATTCTGCTAGATTAAGGTGCTCTGGTTAATATTCTAAAGGTCAAGATGCTGCCTCCTTTAAACAGCAATAACCTTGGTCAGCCGACTGCAGGCTGCAGATAATGACACAGTCTTCGTTTATTCCTGGCCTCTTGATGAATTATTATATTAATTGTTTCCCACAAGCCAGCGTACCAGTACTCTCATTTAGCAAAATCTTCCCTTCATGATTCTCCCTTCTTTAGCATGACAAAAATTATGATTACATAAAATGACTGAAGAGATATAGGCTCCTTTAATTAACAGTCAAAGTTCCTTCAATATCTATTATTTGCTATCAAATACACATTTCMTTTGGTAAACAGCAGTATACCCGATGTGTGTAGCAGGAGCACACAGAGACACTGCAAGACAGGTATACCTATACAAACTCTAATTCTGCCTAAAACTGAAGTGCCAGATACTAACAGAAGTTAGTATCTAACTGGGGGCTAAAACCTAGGTGTTGTTTTTCTATATACAATTAAATGAGAACAGCACTTGTCCTTTAATTTCCAGATTTGAGAGAGAACATTCAGCATAGGCGGAAAAGTTGACCACAGAATTCAACACAGCTCCTCCCCATGAATTAAAAAAAAAAAAAAATCTCAATCAAGTAGAGGCAAATATTCAACCAAATATTACTACTGGAAAAACCTCCTTAGGGCTACAGTTGAGTTAGGCTGCTGCTTTCAGGCTGCCTGGATACTCCCCACCAGCCCTTCCCTTCTATGCACTGAAGGCTCAGTTTAAAACACTGGAAGAATTTGTTTTGCAGYGTCTTTCTGTGTATCTGTTAAAACTGGCAAGATGAAAGTCTGCCCTGCGAAGGGCTCCGCGGCTGCCAGGGACAGGGAGCCCCTCTGAGCATCGTCAGAGGGAGACACGGGGCGAGCTCTGCGGGCCGGCTCCCTGCACTGGGCAGGAGCCGCCCAAGGAGATGCACCCAGGCCCCGACCCAAGCGAAAATTTTGAAAGTGGTGCTGAAAATACTCAATAACTTCACAGCATAAGAAAGGGTTACAGAGATCATCAGCATTGCTCCACTCCAAGAAGTGGTATTTTAGAAGTACAGCATTGGATTTGAAAGGGGCTTCCTATCATGGGCAACTTCACAGAATCCCAGGATGGTTGAGGTTGGAAGGGACCTCTAGAGATCACCCAGTCCAACCCSCTGCTCCAGCAGGGACACCCAGAGCACGGGGCACAGGGTGGCAGCCAGGCGGCTTTGGAAGMTCTCCAGAGAAGGAGACTCCACAGCCTCCCTGGGCAGCCTGTKCCAGGGCTCTGGCACCCTCACAGGAAAGAAGTTCCTYCTCACAYGGAGATGGAACTGCCTGGGTTTCAACTTACACCCATTACCCCTTGTCCTGTCACTGGCCACCACTGAGAAGAGCCTGGCCCTGTTCTCCCTACATTCCCCCTTCATATACATATCAATCAGATCCCCTCTCAGCCCTCAGAGCCACAGCATGCAAAATTTCAGGCCATTCCCTCCTCCCTCCACCTGTACCTCCCTGAGGCGTCACACATCCTTACTAATGACAGGGAAGATGAAGAGTTTTCCGAATGGCAGTTAGTGCATAGGGAAGCCATTACTCTCCCTGCCAAGTTAAAATAAGCTTATTATGATCATTGATGCTTTCTGTCCCAATGTTCTCAGCTGAGCAACATGTGTCCTTCTCCCCCTTTTAAAATAAATAAAACTTTAGGTCAAGGTCAAATTCTCAATACAAGCAAGAGCTGGGCCTAGCTCAGGGATCATGGGGCTTGGGTAGTGGCTGGGACCACTGGCAGCAGGATCCGATTTAAGGGCTCACCRAGGAATAGAGAGTAATAGAGAATCAATTCTCATTAGAGATTTCTGAGAGGAAAATAAACAAACAACCAGAAACCAAATGAAAGATTTAGCTGATCACTAATTGAACCGAACAGACCTGGAAAGCTGCCTTTTTTTTTTTTTTTAAACATTCAAAATTTACATTCAAAGCCATTAATTTGTTTTGTGCTCAATTACAATGCTGAAAGCAACATAAAATGCTTTACTCTCCTCAGTTTACAAGAAGGTTTCTTTACTGCTGATACAGCAATACTCTTCACAAAAACAAAAATAACCTTGAAGGTACTAARGACTGGGAGTTCACCTAGAAAAGGGCTGCAGGGTGACACAGGTATTTTAGAATAATTGTTAATTATATTTTTTTCTCAAAAAGCTAAAAATGAGCAAAACTGTTTACACTAAAGCACTACACTTCTGGATTTCAGAATTAGCTTCACAAATTCAGTAAGAATATATTTTACTGTAATTGCTTTAAGCATATTTGTAGATACAAGGCGTCACTACATTGACTTTCAATGCTCATATATTGTTTTACTTTTCCTAAGACAGTCTAAAAGCACAAATTAATTTTGAAAATGAAGAGCTATATTCTTAAAATGCTCCACAAAGGGGAATGTAAAGGCTGCAAAATCTGCACTGAGGTCCAGTTTTGTGCAGTATACACAACCACTGAGGTGTCCAAATGAAAACAAGATCCAATAAAATTTGCCCATCTTCCACATAAAGTATTATTTGCTGTAAAGTAGAATCTGTGGTGCTGAAAACTACTATTAAGAGCACATATTTTATTACTCAGCACACTTAATGAGGAGGCCAGAAGACCCATCAAAAATACACTTTTCTCTTGCAATCGAGAAGACTCATGAGGACAAAGAGAAAAATCTTACTGGAACAGCAGAGAGATGATATTAACTTGCCAGGATTTTCTAGCTGATACTGTTTAAAATACAATAAAAGTGTGTTTAATGCTTAATATAATTTTTTTTGAACTGCTTTGAATGTTATTTGCTAAGGAAAAGTTTCACTTCTGCAGAGATACAAGCACAAAAGCAGGCTACAATAACCTAAAAAAATAACCTGAGAAATATCAGAAAGTGGGAGAWAGATAACAAAAAAGCTCTATGGCAATAGATATAATGCTAAGACCCTCTTGATATAAGTAAAAAATATATTGACAAATGAGGAATGAGAATCAAAAAAAATAGGAATTATTGGAATAAATACATTTTGAATAAAAATTGACAAAAATGCCCAACAAATTCCTACTTTTAAATCATGGGAAGATAAATACGACAAGACAACATCAGATCATCACGCTGCACTGCCTGAAAAGTATACTTCTTTGCATAAAGAACAACACAAGGAATAATTTTTACAGAATTAAGAAGTAACAAGGACATCAGTTTACAGCTGTTCAGTATAAAAATCAATATGAGTAGCTAATTTGCCTTTTTTCCCCCCACAGCAATTCCCCTTGATGATTTTTTTTTTTTTTTTTTGGCAACACTGCAACAGGCTCTGCAAATAACATGGAGAAAAAGATTAAAAAAAGACTGACCACATTGACACCAGAAAGTGGCATGCAAGACAGCTACGTAAACCACAATCCTCCTCTTTTAACTGTCAAAGTCTAGCGTTGCCAACTGGAGTGTTCAACAGAAATAAGGTTGCATACCTGAAATCAAATTCTCTGAGTTCACTGATCAGGTTCACAGTGTTGTGCCTCCTAAAACCTTTAAAAGYAATTGCACTAATCTGGGCCTCATGCTGCAGAGTACCCAACTTCCATCCATTCCCCTGCTTCTCTTGGGAGTCTCCTCTAGGCAGGCAGACGGCCAAGAAACTCTGTGAGGGGATGGAGAAAGGATCCGTGAAGGCAGGCAATTCTCAGAAATCAAGTTATAGGTATGCAATCTTATTTTCCTCGTTTAAATTGCTCCTTCTACTGAGGCCCAGACTAGAAAGCAGCAGCAGTTAACAAATAAAGGAAGGCCAGAGCAACAATTTGCAGAAAGATTTGGCAAAACTGGGGAACTTCAGGTGACTTTTCTCATTTATCTAATMAAAGACTGAAAGAGAAGGTTAGGAAAAGTGCCACAGGCAGGAGTTTTCTTCCTAAATATCACTTTCAGTTCTGTCACAGCACTTCATTTAGTTAAACAATACTTGGTTTTGGCTGAAGAAAAACAGGGGTCCTGTTTTCTGTTTCAAAAGCTATGCCTATTTACAGAAGAAAGTCTTACTAGGTCAAATAAATGATCTAGATAGTCTGCTAGCCTGTGTCAAGGGCACACGTACAAAACTCAGCACAGTGGCCTGCAGTAGCTTCCTGAAAGGATAAGCACCTAGCAAATAAAATGCTGCCAGTTCCAGTGATTTGCASTGTCTTCCAGCTGCCAGTTATTTGCAGCTTACAGGGGTCCTAAACCAGACAGTCTCTTTGCAATTAACTGTCCTCAAAGTTCTTCTCTAGTGTGTTCAYTTTCCCCTTGAAGGCAAGGAAACCTTAAAAATTCCTAACAATTTGCGGCAACATTTCATGCTTTAATTATCTTTCCYTAGTTTTGAACCTGCTACCTGGCTAGCATATCTGCCACCTGCCAGCCAAACTTGCTCAATCATCTTGTTTTCCATGATGATGCTTCTGACACCTCTAATATCCYAGTCATTTTTACAACACCATAAACCCTTCGCCTTCTTTAAGAGCATGAGGAATCCTATTCCACTTTGCTCTTCTTCCTACAGAAGCTGTTGCATGATTCTGATCCTCCCTKTCACCTCTCAGTTTCTGCGTTGTCCTTCTAAGGGTGGGAAGGGGGGCTGCAGATGGCATTCAAGATACAAGTGTGTCAGATTCATTTTTYTTCCATTTTATTGCTTACTATCCTCAATAATTCCCCCCAATCAATTTACTATTTACTGCTCTTCAGCAAGAAGCCAAGAGTCTCCTCAATCTGCTTAACTATAGCCTCAAATCTGTCACTGAATGGTAACAGTCCTGTCAGAGGACATCATTTCATACTTAAAATTGGCATCATGTTTTCCCTCAACTACCCYGTTTTATATTTATGGCACTGAGTTTCTCCTACCATTTTATTGCCAAAAGACCCAGTTTAAGATCATTCTTCAATTTGTCATAACTGGCCTTTGTTTTTAACTAACYCAAATAACCTGGCATTACTCCTGACTGGTCACTATTGTCAGATCACTCTATCTCCAGTGCAGGTAAGCGGATGGGTTAAGCACAACTTTCCTAGCCCATAACCCTRTGGGACTCCACCACTCACCTTTCCTCACTGTGATAACCAACTCTGTACTCTTACCTTCCATTTCTTACCTCCTAACCTAACTATTCTCTTTTATTCCACAGCTGCCTAGTTTCTTTTAGAGTCTCTCATGACAGACTGCTGAAAATCCAAGACTGCATCTGCTGGACCTCCCCTTCACAGAACTTCAAGAGATTAATAGGCATTATTTCTCTTTGCAGAAGCCAAACATATTTTTCTCCTGTAYGACCAACTAATATGTGTTGCCAAGAATTTAATTACAACTATTAATTTATCTTTAACAGACACTAATCTTCTGCATACAATGCTCTGGAGAGGCATAATAAAGTATAATAAAGACTGATTTACACGAAAATTGAAAACTGCAGGTGGGAGATACTCAGAAGAAGAGTCCTGCACAGTAACAGAGACTACCCTGGCAGCAGGGTCCCAGGCTTAACCTACCAAATAAGCTTCCTGTCAAGTTCATTGAATTTAGCATTACATTCTTTGACAAAAATCAAGGTAGGGTTTCCTGTCCAACATGTGACCACCAGAAACAACGGACACTGGTCTGCTCAGCACAAACCCGTTCAGTTCACAAGGAATCTGAAGCCTTTGAACGTATTCACACACTAATGATCCAGGATGCCCTGATCCACCAGACTGCCAATCCACATCAACATTTAAAATGGATTAAATTCACAACTAAGGCCTCTAGTTTCAAAAAGCAGAAGAAAAACATCTTAAGCTTCTAGATCCCTTTACACTGACAGCCTGAAGATGTTTAGGCAACATCTATGCTAATAAAATAAACGAGGCCGGCTCAAAGGTTCCGTTAGTGTCCCCTGCTCATCCCTACTCTAGATCTAACTTCAGATTAGTCCTGCATTGAGCAGGAGCTCAAGCTAGGTGACCTAGCTCAAGCTAGGATTAGTCCTGCATTGAGCAGAAACTCAAGCTAGGTGACCTAGGTGAAAGGTCCTGCCTAAGCCATTCTCTGAGCCCACTGAGCTGTCAGTGTCCTGTAGTGCGGTATTGGCCTATGCCAATAGTTTTGGCCTACTGGCTTCCAGACACCATGGTTTGGGGAACTGCATGGACAGAGAATCTTATCTGACAGCTAGTATTACAGCTTATAACAATTATAGCTGTAGTTACAGCTGTCTTAGAGAGGAAGAATGTTTAGATGTATGGATATGAGCTCTGCTGGGCTGCTTGCATGCAGACTGATTTTGTTTATGAATGTAGATATGGCCATTCTTTTGCAGTTCGAGTAGGGAAAAGCCCTTAAGTGAAGTTATGATATCTGTCTCAAAAGAATATACGTAATACAAAGATGTTTTTTATTCCATCTGTTTCTTTTAACTGGTACTTAACTTTCTTAAAATATTACATGAAACACTGTCTAATTAGTCCTTGTAATACTTTTTAAACCAGGGGAAAAGGATAAAACACGCACCCACACTAAGTGGATGGCACATCTAAACAACCAGCATCATAGTGACAAAGCTTATGTCACACGGGATTTTGGGAATATCTCCAATAAATATTAGGTGTCACCCTGTGACAAACCTGTAATTAGAGTCGCAGAGATTTCAACTCCCGGTCCTGTGTTCAAACTTGAAGATTACCCTGCCAACAGCAATTTTTAATTTTCTATCTCATTTTAATTTTGCAAATTAGTTGTAAGGCACATATGAAAAGTAACCTGTTGGYCTTTAAGATTAACTGTTAGCTTCAGTTGACCTTTTAGCTTATCACAAAAAAATCACACCCAGCAATTTTGCAAAGAAGTGAAGAAGTTGTTCTTTGATACCAGTCAACCTCTGGTATGACAGAACTGATTGGGTAAAAGAGAATTATAAACAGTAACTTCTGACCAGCTGTGTATATGCTGTTTAAGTATTGGAAATAGCTTGCAGAAGTGAAAAAGATAATGTATTTTCCTTACCCCATTTTCGTTTGGTGAAATAAGCATCAGCGCTAGGGTCATTGAAGTGTCTGCTCATCATAGTCTCTCCTCCAGCATGAAAATCATATGCAAACACAAGAGCTTAGAGATAGAAACACGTGACAATTACTAACTTAAAACTTGTTCAGAAAAAGCCTTTCAACACTGTGGGGACCCTCCACTCCCCACTCTCCCTCTCCTTTGCCCCCCAAACAAACAAATAAATAAAACCCAAACTCCCCCTGCACTTACAATGTTCTCCGAATGCTTTAGTGGTAAATACTTCACGCAAGGTTACTATATTTGAGTGCTGAATTTTTTTCCACATGTCAACCAATACCATGCACTTTGTGTTAACGAGACGAAAACCTGACRAAAAACAGAATCTGCAGTTTAAAACGCAAGTTGGTGAGAAGTGCAACTACCAATAAGCCCATATTTAARTAGTTAGAGAGAGCTAATTTAAGAATCTCTTGCTCTCTCTCGTCCCCAGAAAGTAAGTTCAGCAAAGCTTTACACACATAYGTATTTAGGCTTAAATAAAAGCTGCATTTCCATTTAAAAGATGGCAACTCAAATGTTCTCACCATGTATCCTCCGAAGGCAATACGGCAGGTCATCTTTACTATTTACAGCCTTATAGCACGACGTGATGTACCCGAAGTTGCTCGTTTTCTGGATCCGGTTGGGTGGTGGCAGTGGTTCTAAGGGAAAGAGGCTGTGGTAGCTGTCCACTTCCGCAGGAACTGCTACATCCATTTAGGTACAGAAATGTATTAGATCAATTAGGTAGCAATTCTCTCAAGGCAGAGAAGATTAAATCTGATCAATTAGGTAGCATTTCCTATCACAATTTTCCCAAGGCAGAGAAGATTTAATCTACTGAGTTAATATGTCACTTCTTTGCASTGTCTTTTCAATGCATGCAAAGTTAGAATTCATTATTTTTCCTTCAATATCAGCATTGAGGTTTCAGTAATTGCCTTTAGAAGAACAGCTATACCCCCATAAAAAGAAAGAAAAAAGAAAGAAAAACGCAGATTTTTCTCCACTATTCTCATTTGCCTTAAAAGTATATTGTTCACAAATGACATTTTTCTAGCACAGATTCACAAATAAGCATCAGTTTCCACACAGGCTTCCAGAATATCATTTTAAGAACCCTGTTTTCATCACGGAAAGAACAAATATGAAGAGAATTAGTTTGTGTCTTAACTGTTCTTAAGGCACAGAGAGGCAGAGGGAGGGAAAGGGAAAGACAGAAAGACAGGGAGGGACTGAAGGGTTTACAAATCGGATTAAGAGATTACCCTGGGAAGAGATACACTTGTACCTCAAGCAGATTAGTAAATGAAACGATGTTTTAGACTGCATCACCACTGCTATATTAAGACACAGACAGAAGTAAGGGCATTCCACCAAAACAAAAGCAATCTATTCAAACAAAGATGATGGCAATCAACTGTAAATTCTCCAAAAAACTAACCACAATGTACTGTATATATTTCTCTTGTCAAACAAGAGCTAGTACAATGTGTTCTCTGATATCGTATCAATTGGTTCACTTAAACATACTTTGCTAGCTTTATATGTAGCCTTAGAAAAATAAATGCATCCTTTAAAGGAACATCTAATACATGCAAAATAATACAGTGCTTTCACAAGACTACATTCCCTAAATTTTCTTTCCCAATAATTATTTCAGATCATCAAAAAATTCATAATAAATATGTAAAAATACATAAAACAAGAAACAATTTCATATTTATGAAATGCTTTGAAATCCAACATCAMATTATCCTTGGTCCAGGATAAAACCTCTTGTAAAATTGAAAAACAGATTTTTTTTTTTTTTTTTGGCAAGATGTTGTTAGTATTATTGAATATTTTTCTGCAACTGTGCACATGACTATGGCTTATTTTATAGAAAACACTCTYACTTACCAGGAATATCAGCTTGATCGATCTGTGCCATAGTTATTAAGTGTCTGTTGATCAGTTCCTGAAGAACAAATTGGGTCAAATCTTGAACTCTGTGGTTCAGTTACCTTTGATAACAGTATACTGCTTTTGAAAGACAGACTGCTTGTACCACAACAGCTAGTTTATGCAAGAGTCCCACAGGAGGAAAAAATATATATCCATATGTTAGTTGCTAAGTGCTTCTCCTAAATATGTTTTATAAATATTTATTTTTTCCAGATGCAAACAGAGAAATCTTGAAAAAAAAAAGAATTCTAGAATGCATGAACCCTTTCTGCAGAAGAAAGCAGCTGCAGMAGACATGTTACCCAAAGGTAGCATGGGCAGATGCACCCAATGCTATGACAGTTACTTCGGTGGTAGCAGTGGAAGCCCTTCAAGGAGCACTCAGCAACTAACACCTGCACACGCTTTCATTCCGGTGAAAGACTTGAAAACTCAATAGATTTACAGCTTTAAAGCAGTGCTAGGTAAACAAACACACTAAGGGATTACACACATCAAGAATATTTACTTGAACAGGAAACTATGGCATGTAGTTTAGACTGTGGTCACATACGCTCTAACCTGCCCTCAGAGGTACTGTCTGATACAGGACTAGATTTTTAAAGTTCTCCATAAAGAAACCTGACTGCACAGATTGTGCACATTTCTTTTCCACTATTGGTGATTTCCTACTTTTCTCCAAGATATGCATTTTCCTTTTAAATTCTCTATGATTATACCTGTCTGAGTTCATCTGCCATGAAGAAGGAAGGTGCATTTGCCTTGGGCTGCATGTAAGCAACGTGAGGTGCAGCTGGATGGTAGATGTGGTAATTTGGGAATACCTGAGAACAGAGCATTTGAAAAAAGAGTTTAAAACCCTTGAGGATTGGGAAAACACAGAGATCTATTATCCTTTCAATCTGAACTACTGAACTATGAAGTCTTCAAGGCACAGCACAAGTTATGAATTTACTGCCAGATGCATTATATTTTCCTTATGAGATATTCACTACTAACAATTTCAAGTATGTATCTATGTGTATTTATATGTTCTACCATTTTTGTAGGCGCCTTTTTCCCAGCTCTGCTGTAAATTTAGGATTTAGCRTATCAGAAATGAAAATCTGAAGATAATATTTGATGTTTTCTCTACGTATACATAAATATACACACAGACACAAAATGCTTTCTCTACTGCTGTGCAAAAAAATCCAAAACTCTTCACAGGAGAAATAAAGAATACTTGAGAACACTCACATTTCCTTTAATCTTTACATTTTGCTGATCTTAAATATGACTACAAAATAAAAGGGCAAGTATTCACCAGMAACAAAGATTTTCAGAAATTAAGGACATTTTGCAAACAATATTAACCAAATGAGCACTTCAAAACTCTGCCTACTTTTGCATCAAAAGCAAACACACCATTCCGGTGACAGGCGCTGGCGTTGTATCCGTATAGAAGTATGTCGTTCCACCCACCGTTTCCTTCTGGATCACCTGGCCRGTAGACGGAGGCTGGGACACCGCGTTAGCGACGGAAGCAGAGGCACTAGTAGGCACCATATAGTTTGCTGGGTTAGGAGTATGACTTCTTCTTCGGGGAGCAGGAGACGTATGGGGGGTTATTTTGGGGGAATGAAGAGGAGAAGATCCTGCTGACAGCGACATTCCTTGGAGAAACACAAGAAGATATTTTTGGTTAAATGCCTGCCAAATAAAACTACTCCACAGCTTGAAGAAACAGCTTTCACTACACAGTTCAGAACTAAATAACACTGACAGGCTTAATGACTGCTACTTCTTCAGGCAGAGTTAAGGGATGAAGTAGTAAAAGGAAGGGCAACAAATACATTTTTCCCCCAAGTCTTCTCATGGTTAAGAGAAGAAGGGGGCTTGGGCGCTTGTGACCTACCAAAACATGGAAGAACTGGAATGAAGTATGTGGGAGGGGAAACGGGGAGACAAACTAAATGCTGCTGTGTTGAGAAGAGAGTTTAAACTGCATAGAGATAAAATATTAATGACTGCATGATAAGTCGATGTTTGCATAACAGCTGCATGGACAGTTGCTGCACCACGAGTGAAGCTTGCCGAGCTATAACTCACTCAACCTATAACCCAGGTACTACCTTTTACTATAACGTAAACACTGCTTATGAGTGCATGTTGTTAAGAGTAGGATCGGCAATGATTACAGCCTACAAATAAAATTATTAAAATAGTATTTGCTTAAGGGAGGAATTATCTGCTTTCTTCTAGCAGGGAAAAAAAACCATCCTTCAAAATAAATCAATTTGTTATGTAACAATAGGCAACTTCTCAGAATCAACCAGATATTCGTGCTCGGACTTTCCAATTTACCCAACGTGGTTGGACTGACTGATGTTTGCAAAGGGCAATAGAGGCCAGGCAACTGCAGACAACTTCCGAGGCCTGATGTCCGAGTGGAGCCCAGTGGCAACCTGTACCACACAAAAGCTTCCTGGCTGTCAAAATGAGGCTGGTACTTTCATTCAAGAGGTGCTGCAGGCAGATGTTCACAAATGTTAAGCACCAGGCTGTGAGCAGGCCTTCCAAGTTGTTACAGGAAAGAAGTTACTCTTCAGAAAACTCCTGGAATCACTTGAGGYGGATACTAAATATTTAGGGGGGAGGCAGAAATCAGATCAATACAAGGGACAGCATCTTGAATTTAGGAATTGCTCAATTCAGACTGAGATGCAATCAGAAATTTATCAGTTGACCTGAATTTCTTCTTTAAAAGGAGATGAGATACAGCATAAACTGCCAAAGTTGTGTACAGACAGCTGAGAATTCTCTAATTAAACATTCAGTTGTTATTACCCAGATACTTAAATTACTTCCTTTATTCGCTCTGCTTTGTCTTTATAAGCTGATATACAAAGGGAAAATATAGTCACATCTCAGTATTACATAAAAGTATTTATATTTGCATTTCTTCCCTAAAGTAGTCACATACGACCTACACTTACTTTTTCTAAAAAAAAAAGCCACAAAAGCAAATAATAATTTCAATATCAATAGTAAAGTATGTATGTAGAAATATAAAAATAAATGAAATAAATAGAACTCAAGTTTTTGCTTGACAATATTTTAAGTTCTTGGTTGTAGAAGTCCACATTTCATCACACTTATTGGAAAATAACACAGTTTATCAGATTTTAAGTGCAGAAAAATTATTCTGAAGCTACATTATTCTAATAATACTAATAGAAATATATAAGTTAATTTAGTTCCAACGATAAACTTTTCTGGCACCTCTGATGCTTAATACAACACAATTATTTTGTTCGTGAGAAGTAGTTTTCATAAAAGCAAACATAAGGCCATCTTTTGCCATTCTCTCACTGTGCTTCTTCAGTTACTTACTCTTTTAAGCAAAATCTTAATTTTCTTTRCACTATTACATAGTTATATAAACATATATAAGCAATACTGCAGAATAACTTCTTGTTTATTAGTGCATTACATAATTTACTTATTAAAATTTGAATTATGTATTTCTGAATGACTGTTTAATTTTTAAAGGTTTTCCTGAACGGAAAAGTGATGTCTCCTAAAAGCCTGTTTACAAATTAGCTTCAAGACCACATACAAGAATTGCTGTGGTATCATGCTTATACTACCAAAGAAAGGAAAACTTGTCTTCAGATAAATGAGTGACCAAGCAATCATTAAATATTTCAGTTTAGACAGCTATAATTTTACAGAGAGTTTTAATCGCTAAAATTTGAAGATAGCCTACATTAAAATAATCCTAAAACTGAAAAAAACTCTCCTATAATTTGTACCTACAATATTCAAGTGACTCTCTTGATCAAAATAATGGAAAATGTGCTTTAAATATTTCTAAATCAAAACGAGCATCTCACAACCTTGCTAAAATTATTTTAAAATTCAACTGGAAGTTTCTCAGAAAAAAATAACTGCAACTAGCAAATTCTATGGATACACGGGAAATTGCTTGAAATTGTAAGATTTGCTTTAGTTTATTCCTGCCAAAGAATGAAGAGAAATTGTCATATATACAAACCCTCACTGTCTTCTTTTTTTTGATCAATAATGCAAGAAAGAAAAACAAGTTCATTGTAGAGTTGTGCACATCACTCTAATGTCATCCCAGCCTCGGCTAAATTTTAGAAGGCCCCTAAGAGCCTGATGCAGATGATCTGGTAGACAGAATACACAGGTTTCTCATTTGCCAGCATGCATAAGCACGAGACRTGCAAGAACTTTGACTAGAGTTTATTTTTATACTAGAGCAATACACTACAGATTGCAAAAAAATTGCTCCTACTGCTATGGTGGATTCCAACAGAGTGAGGCAGCAAATATCTGAGGTGACAGATCCATTGAGATACCTGCAGTAAATGCTGAACAGAGTGAACAAACAGGTATTGGCCTTTAAAGTCCAAAGACAGACAGGAAAACAAGAAAAAACAAGATCTCATCTAATACTGGGAAACCGATGCAGTGCTACGTAGTTATGGAGGCAGGTAAATCTGGATTCACAAACTAGAGCAGCTCTCACCATCTTCACAGGGTCTTTAATTGCTTAGAGCTTTACTAATATTAACATTTAACTACAACAACATAAAATAAGATTGCTGAATATGAGTAGAACATCTGAAACAAAGAGCAGCTAGAAATCACTGCAGGAAAGAAAACGAGATGAAGTGGTTAAAAACTTTTAGTCCTATTGTATTAGAAGGTGAACATATATTCCCAGTGACCGATGTTGAAGGGAAAAAGTAGCCCCATATTCAGTATTGTCTAACAACATGGTAAATAGGGAGCCACTGATTTAGACAAGCTAACCCAAAACAACAACAAAAAACTGCTTCAGATTGTCCTTCCTGAACCTCATCTCATAGCAAAGGCAGCTTTCAATTCAATTCAATGAATATTTATTCCCTTYATGAAATAATCAAATATCTTGCAAAGTAAGCCACAAGGGGAAAGGCCACTTCAGTTATTCACATTAAAATGCAAATACTTTGCTATGTATGCGTCTCTGGTGAGACAGAAAAAGAGAAAAAAACAGTGTGGGGCTATTTCTGAGCTCATAATTGGACTACTRCATAATTGTGCTGTTCTGATATGATTCTGGTACTTCCTCAACAGCAAAAGAAACTCATCATATTTGGCGAGGTCAGAACAAGCTCTTCACACCGTTTGGGGCTTTAGGCCAGGTAAGTCTCCTCAACCAAAACCACTCATTTCCAGTTTGGGTCATGAGCTCGCAGAACTGGCAATTTTTCCTCACTGTATTTTGGTATTATATTAAAAGCTATGGAGACTGGATGGTGTTTTGAGGTATAAGCACTTTTTGCCATAAAGTACTTAARCAGATAGACATGTAAAAGCAGGGCTAGCCTTCTCCCCCACTGTACCATAATAGAGATGCCAGGTGTGCAAAGACTTGTCTAATACAGTATTTTTATCATTTTTTTCCAATATTTCTGTAGTGCTGCTGATAAGACAAGTGGAACAAGTATTTTCCAGGGCCAGCTACTTAAAAATATTAGATGTCAAAATGTTTTTGATTTATACCTATCATTAGTGAAATCTCCAAAACTAAAGCTATGAAAGAACTATTTTTGTTTTATTTTTCTGTTCTCAAGAAGGCAATCAAAGGATTTTTTGGACCCATCCTTTACCTATTTTGTAAAGGAGAAATTAAACTCCTTCAATATTTCCTTATTAGTTCCAAAAAAATCATTTCCTTCAGTACCCTGTAAGCAAACTTTGTCCTTCAAATACATACATTTTTACATACTTACTGAAAGTTATTCTCCAGTAGAKTACGTATTATTTAACTGGAAGCAGACTCACGTTTATAGAAAAGAAAATATTTTGCATACAAATACTTAACATTTGTTTTCATTTTGAATTCTCTTCAGTTTAACTAACAACTTTGTAACACACTCCTCCAAAAACAATTTTTAATTATGATTCCACAACACGTGTAGTTCTTTATGCTGTTATAGTGTATGACTTAGATGAAGTTTTCCCACAGATAAATACTCCTCACTTAAGAGTCTAGTCTTTCAGAAAGATGTTTAACAAACATTTAAATGTGTTATTTATGAAATATCCTTAGATTTAGAAGATACTGCAATCAATTGAGGGAGGAAATCATGTCAGAGCACCTGGCACAGAACCTCCCTCTGAAGTACATTCACTACACTAGATACACAGGAGAGCAAGGAAACAAGCTGCATTTTTCTGAGTTCACTCTGGTGAATACTCCCCCATCCCCTCTCCACAAACAAACAAGATTATTTGAACCTAGATTATTTGGCAGCTGTACTTCTAGGTCCTCCAATTTTTAAGTACGTCTTTCATCAATAGTGTAACTTATCCTTTCAACRTATTACTTACAGATAGTAAAGAAATTGGACCGTGAAGGATCCCTCTGAGACCCCACTGGACACTTTCCAAAAGTGGATCATTATATTGTATTCTATTTAATCCTTTTTACACTTTTCAATCCGGGTGACAAGGCTGAGAGGCATATAAACACAACAGTTTTCCAATAAGACTGTACAGCACGACATGGCACGAATAAGACACARTATTGCATCATGTTAACTTGCTCAGCAGAAGCATCCAGCGCTTTCCTAGCCTGTTCCTGAAATTCTAACACTGTGCTAGAGAAGTGCTGGGTTCATTAGTGATGACATTGAGACATATCCCTTGTTTCTGGAAAGTCTGAAGGTCGGTTTAATTGAYAGTAAATGCCAAAAGTCACTTAAAACCCCCCAAAATTTACAAAATTTGCCTTTTTTTTTTTTTAAAGTCTTATGGCCGGTACACAATTTTAATTCATCACAAGACGCTATGTAGGAACATTTTTAAGGCATCTAGGATGCGTAACATCCAGATCTGCATATCTTACAATTACTTCAGTTATATACATAAAAAGTTAACTTAATTCTAATATTGGTTAAGTTTGTAATTCCAGAAGAGGCGTGAACAYCTTGTGCTTTTTAAGCCTAAAAAGGTCTTGTCACTCGAATTTTAAGACTSCATGGAACACATTTAAATAAGAATTATAAACATAATAATTCACAATCAGTTTTAAAAGTGAGATTACCTGATACGATAGACACAGTGACAAATAATAAATATTTTGCAAAACAAAAGATTTTGCGATAAGTTTATCTTCTTTCTTGTTTTTTTTTTAATATATGCTTATTAGCACTGAAAGTAATTGCATAGCCCAGAAATAAATCAAGGGACCAGACAAATGTACTGTAATCAGAGCACAGAGCCCATTTGTTTCAGAATGCAGTTCAGTTCTGGACCACAGCTAGTTTAAATCTACTTCACACCCTTCTGTAGCAAGGGCAGCACAAAGTACAGTAAACAGGTATTAAATTCAACACCTYTTTTACCCCAAGTATCAGGGTAAGTCAGCTTCAGACAACCTCARTGCTCAGGCTGAACAGATTTCATGGCCTGCTGTGTCATTTCCATACTGTGGAGAATAAAATGCAAGTTATTGCACTTTCATATTCTTGAAGAGCTTCTTAAAACTCAGAATTAAAGTGGGAGGTGTCTAGATTTATACCTGAGTAACGTGATCCTTAGCTCTACAGGGTTAGGTTTAATGTAACTGGAAATTAAGAGCAGTTGACTGCAAATCCTTATTCTCCACTTACCTGGTGCTAGCCCAGCAGTAGCGGGACTTCCCATGGAGGGGTGGGAGAAKAGGGCTTGAGAGAAGGCAGACATGTTTGACTGGGACACGTTGCTCATCCTGGAGCTTGATCCACCCTTAGGAATAAACTCACTCGCAGTAGGATTTGGGGTCTGTTTAAAAACAAATATACATTAAATGTTTATGTGCGAAAATAGGGACAATACCTACTTGGGAGAAACTATTTCCTAGGCAAGTCTATTGCGGGCAAGRGGAATAATTTTAGGCTGTGTACGGCTGTTCACAAGAGCTGATGTGCACAAACAAGTATCTCTACATCTGAAAGTGTTAGCAAGCTTTCCACATGAAGAGCTGAGGCAAGAATTACAGGCAAATTACAAAAGGCTTCTCAACCATCTACACCATTATACTGACATTTGGGGAAAGGATCTGACAGGGAAGAAGCCTCAACACTGCTGCACAGGCCTTGGTATGCGGTTCTGGAGAAGTCATTCTAAACTACGTAGCAGTTTCAAAGCAGCAAAAAGCATCTCTCCTAACAACAGGTCATCTCTGCTTCTATTTCTTCTATTTCAGATAAGCCTTTTTTTTCTTTTTTCTTTTCTTTTTTTTTTTTTGAGGTTAGTTTCTGCCTTAATGAGATACTCTATCTACACAGAACTTGCAATTGCAAGTTTTAATTTGAGACTGCAGGCACAAATAGCAGCAAAGTGACTATCGAATCTCTACCAGTACATAAAAATGTATATCACAGCTGACTTTGTATTTCTGTTAAAGCCTGTGCAAAGATTTTTTCTTTTCTATAGAAAAAGAAAATCCTATTTGGAGCTCAAAGAGCAAACAGCTAATTAAGGGACAGCCAGTTGCAGGAGACATTAGCAGAAGAAAAGTGAAATTATGGCAAGAAATAAAGCTGATCAGTTTCTGTACACACTAACGAGCAGCTTGAAGATTATGTATTCATTCTTTATTAAGTTGGCTCAAGAGAACCTCTCAAAACTGTGTAAACAAAAGATGTAAAATGAAAAGCTAATAACAAAACTTTGAATAGGCTACTCAGGTAATCCAGGATGTTTTTAAAGCAAATCATTTTGGATCACTTTGGCTACAACTATTAGTTAAATTACATACACTTCCACAAATATGAACAAAGCAATATGCTAAATTAGTCTCACGAGAAAAAAAAAGATATAAAATACTAATATAGACAGTGAAGGAAATGTATTTGAAAAGTGCTCTTTTCCCCTATCGATCTGTTTTTAACATTTTTATTTGGAAACTTTGGTCAGATATCATTAGTGTACTTCAAAGTACTAGGAAGCAAAGACGACTAGAAAAGCTGTAAAGTTAGAGAAAATTACAAAATTAGTTGTTAAAAAGCAAATAAACCTATCATATAGCCTGTAACAGATCAATAGAGGAACACTAGGTTTCACCTTAAACCATGCAGTAAGTTTTAATATTACTATAGCACAGATTATTCACTCTATATGTGCATATCTGAATGTTAAAGAATAGTAATAACTAAATATGCAGRYTGATGAATTAAAACACTTAGACTTATATGGTTTAAAAGTTTATAAGGATACCAAAATGATTTAAACATATTTAGTTAAGGAAAACTTGCTGAAGTTACACAAAGGCAGCAAAATAAATAGGAAGTGGCATTACAGACTTAACAAGCTACTACACACCTTTAAACTCAAAAGGGAACACTTTGAATCTATCCAAATTTTAGGTAGATAAATTGTAAGAGAGAATGTGCTTTTCTGGCTAAAATCTGCAACGATCGGCCAGAGCAAAGGCAAAGAATGTGTAAAATCCTCCTAAAACCACAACATTTTAAACAAAATACGAGATCTAAGTTTTTCACCCTTAAAATGTAGCCAACCACAGATGTATTGCATCTAAAAATGGGGTCAAGTGGGACATAAGAGCAGGTGACATCCAAAAGAAACCTGGAAGCAGCAGCYGTAAAGACAGACCTGCTTCTGCAAGGTGTCAGGCTGAAGACATTCCCTAAACCCGACCCACACCACGTTGGCTAGCTACATCTCACCTTGGTGGTTGATTCCATCAGAACAGGACTGTGTTTAAACCCTAAAACATTCTGCACGCGTTAACAGAGCAGCTGGGGTCTCACTCACTATCAGTCATTATTTTAACACAAAATTGCTCACACCGGTTTTGCTGCTTCACGTTCTCCAAGTTAAAGAGCTTATCTTAGAAAAGTACTAAAGGAGTTTGCGCTTCTGCTCTYGAGTTGGGAAAGGTAAATTAGGTTACGAGGCCAAAGGGATTGCAGTTTACATTCATTTTTATATCACARTTCTGACAGGATCAGAATCTAAATGGTTAAGACTGTGAATCCTCTCTATGCAACTTGGATATAGGCACTTTTTATGGGCAAATAGGTCTGATTTGTATAACTAGTTACTCTATTATAAAAGCTTGGTTAGTTCTCTGTGACATTGCAAACATGAAGTTGTAACCAAAGGTCTTCCTCATTTGCCAAAAAATATTTAAAATTTAGTTCCAATTCCAAGAAGATTCTTCTCAACATTGAAACTGTTTTCAAAAATCAAAGCTATATCTCATCTCCCATTCTCCTGTTAGAACAAACTAAGCAAAGCAATTTTAAAAAACCAAAGATTTAATAATTTATGTTTAAAAAAATCACCTACTTTATCAAAAAAAATGAGGTTTATGCTGTAGGGAACATACTACGTAAAGTTACAGTTCTTAGAACATCTTCAAAACTATTTTAATTTGAACCAAAATATTTTTCTGCACATGCTTCTTTTGTTACAAATAATATAAAGCATATCCCAAGCATATCCACACCTTGCAGATTCTTCCCACCTAAAGTAAGYGAGGRAATTAAATATATATATTTATATAAACTTATTTATAAATTAAGTTTATAAATAAACTTAAAGAACTTATATAAATAAATATAAGTTCTTTTAATGCTGCTCTTCTCACAGCTCTTCAAGTATTGCAGACAACATATTCTGTACTCACGTATTCTGCGAGTATATAAATACACCAAAATTTGTAAGTCAGGCTTTAAACATCTAATGTTTCTCCAAAAAGAGATKTTTCTAGTCCTAAAAAATATCCTTTTACTATGACAAAACTATAGGTTTTAGCTCTCACTTAAATTTCAGTTGGTGGTAAACTTGTTTCAAACTGCACCATTTTGGTGTTCTGTGTAGAAACTTATCAAGCTCTCTAAAAAGAAATTCAGTAAAAATATTTTCCTCATCTCCCTTACATTACATGAGACCGAAAAACCATTTCAGATTAAATCTTTAAAAAAACACATTCAAACATTAGAAATTAAAAGAAAGGAGACAGAATGAGCAATGCAATCCTGTGAGGTTAAAAAGTGAAGTAGTGAATGACGCTCTTAAAACCCAAACAAAAATCAAAAAGCCAGCTGCCACCACCACTATCTACACTAGTCAAATTAGAGAGTGTTTTCAGTTTCACATTATTTCTAGAAATCTTTAGAGAGGCAAATACATMATGATTTCAAAGGATTTTAATTAATATGTTTTAAACAAACAAGCCCAGCTCTGTCAGCTATGCTATTTTTTACTGAAAAGCAAAGACTAAAATAAAGCAGCTTCAAATACATGCTCTGAGCCTGGCAAATTTGAATCTCATCCCCCTTCCAGTATATTCTGAAAACTAGATCACTCAAACTAAACCAGTGGGAGAAAAACTCCCCCATAGGCACTAGCTGAATTAATATCTGCATCAAGCATTCTTAATCAGAACGATCCCATGAGGAAATTTCTCTCCACAACGCTTTATCTTCAGGTTCTTTACATCTGAACTCTTTTAGAACCACAAGAACCTCCTTTTACTCAGTTTTACTGTAAAACTTCCAAACCAAACCCATTCTGCCCATTCAAATTTATACAAACAATAACAAAACAACATAGTTTGGGACTCCTATATGCAAGACAACACGAAGTATGTCAGGAAGCACATCCAAATTCGGATTCAATTCCCACCTCAATTCAAACATGATATAGATAAAAACAAAACCACAAAAGGCCCAAGAAGTAGGAGGAACTACAARAGGGTTCTATGGCATCAATAAGCACAAGGCTCATCGGCCTGGTGACCTCCATGCTATGAAACATATGTACAACAAATCCGTTGTCAGCAGAATCACAGACTGGTTGAGGTTGGAAGGGACCTGTAGAGATCASCCAGTCCAACCCCCTGCTCCAGCAGGGACACCCAGAGCACGGGGCACAGGGTGGCAGCCAGGCGGCTTTGGAAGATCCCCAGAGAAGGAGACTCCACAGCCTCCCCGGGCAGCCTCTTCCAGGGCTCTGTCACCCTCATAGGAAAGAAGTTCTTCCTCACATGCAGATGGAACTGCCTGGGTTTCAACTTATACTCATTTCCCCTTGTCCTGTCACTGACCACCCTGGAGAAGAGCTTGGCCCCCTCCTCCCTACATTCCCCCTTCATGAACTGATACATGTTAATTAGATCCCCTCTCAGCCTTCTCTTCTCCAAACTAAGCAGGCCCAACTCACTCAGTCTCTCCTCATATGAAAGATGCTTCAGTCCCTTAAYCATCTTTGTTGCTCTCTGCTGTACYCCCTCCAGAAGCTCCACATCCCTCTTATACTGGGGAGCCCAGAACTGCACACATTACTCCGCACCACAGAAARAATTAAAATGTCTTAAAAGATAAATGCTCAGTGCCCCGGTATCTTTGTGAATGAAACCTCAACATGCCTGAAGCGCCGAAGCATCCTGTAGCAGAGATAAGGAGTCAAAACACAGAAGGCCGGCAGCATTTGGGAGGCCAYGCCAGGAGCTCACAGCAGTCCTGTGGAAAGAGCCTTTTCTCATTTACTCTCAGGTAAGGATCTCCCCACACAAGCAGTGACAAAGCCACATCCTCCCTGTCTTGTGGCTATAATACTCCTTATTTGTATTAGGTCTAGTTACACACGTTCTACCAAATCCAGCTACCTAAAGGCTATTTCATTTCCTTTCATAAGGATGTCCTCACGTACTTACCATGCTAAACACTGGAAAGAAGCCTTTTTGTCTTCTTTTTATGTTCTCCTTCACCTCCAAGTTCATGCTCATCTGTTCTGACATCCCAAATTGCATGATCCTATAATGGTCCCAGAAAGCCACCGCTGCACTATCCCCAAGCCAGCTCTCTGCCAGGCTGTTTCAATTATCCGGTGTCGTTCTCGGAACGTCTTGGATTCATCCAAAAACAAGCGGTCAGATGTGCCACCTAACGAAGCTCACGTGGCACAAAGGCCACGAGSCACCTCTGTGTCCGAGTCGGGTTCYTCCGTCACCGTGACGGCCGAGGAGGCCACATTCCGGGATACCACATTCCCAGATGTCTGAGCAGCCCCTGAGGTGCTGGAGGGCGCCCAGGGCTTCCCAAGGAATCTCTCCCACTCCTGGGTTTGTCCTAAGGGTTTCCTCATCCCGATGGTGKGACAACTACCCCACAGTGGGTACCCACTACCACCACAACCGCTATGTATTTCACCTGAAAATCAGCTTTAGGAGCTGCACTGCTCTAATGCACTTCGGAAGAATAATAAGCAAATTCATTAGAACTGGGTAAAATTTGTTGGCCAGAGATTTTCTTTGCTCAGAAAAAAACTATTAGCAAAGTTTCATTAAGTTTGGCAAAAGTGAACTTGTAAAGACTATGCATTCTATATTTCTTTTGCATTTCTTTTTCAGTTTTTAGAAATTGAGTAGTTTTTTTCCAAATCCATCTTTCTGGTAAAAAAAAAAAGAAAAAAGTTTACCGGTAATTTTTTTCATCAAATAAAACAAATTTCAGCAATTATTTATGGTTCTCCAGAGCTTACCTATAAAGTTAATTTTGTATTTACCCCTGTAATTTTAAGAACCACCAATATATTGTACCTATGGTGCCGTAGTAGCCCAGTATGTTTCCAAATATGGAGTGGGACATATAATTGAAGTAAAAAGCTTTTTTTTTTTTTTTCTTCTGTTTAAGTGTAAACACAAAACAGAATTCACTCTGCTTTATACAGCTCTGGGGTAATTGTACAAGATTGACAATATAGATTGACAGATATGGTTAAAAATTAGTAACYACGAGAGATAAACAGTTATATTGGTTTATAAGAAATCTCATGAGTTACCTTGTTTCATCATAGTTGTTTTAAAACCATTAAAGGACGGTGCTTAAGGCTGCATCATGAAATGCAGTGTTTTCCCACAGTGGTAAATCACYAATCTAGAAGACTGGGCATTCAAATAAACACATGAACACCTATAGAAAGAGCTAAAGGCAACATTACAAACCGTTAGCAATTGTGAAATGCTTTCTCGTCTTCAAAGAAAGGGAGAAAATGCCCTCAAACAAAGGTGTTTCCATCATAACGAAACTGTTCTACTTACTATWGCTTAGTACTCATCAACAGGCTAAATTTAGTTAGTAAAATCTATATTCACACCTGCAAATCATCCCTAAACTGCCCGTTTTTCAAAAAAAGTAGTCAACGTTATCTATAGACCGCACACCTAAATAGAAAAACACAAAGTCAATCTGAAATCCTAGTATCAAACTACACATTTTTAAATAGGTTCATATACCAAACTTCCCCAAAAACTAGAGCCGCTTTTTGTCCTTTTACAATTAGCAGTTTTAGCAGGAACTTAGAAGTATGCAAAGATTTACAGTGGTCAGAATGAAGTTGTCCAACTAAAATTCACTCTCACCTATACAGAGCTTCACAGGCCCTCATCAKCTGACCTACAGCCTGGTTTTTAGCCTGTCTTTGCTCATCCTTGTCCAACTCCACTCTTTCACTGCAATCCCTCTGTCTTTTCTTCAAATGAGCTTCCTATCTCTCAAAATCCTTTCTGATCTTTCTTTCCTAACAGGTATGCATACATACACTTTTTTAAAATCCCCTGTTTTCATGGAAACTACATAATTACACTGTATAAAAAAACTACATAAAACCTACGATTTTGCAACTAAACTGCATAACTGAAATTCTGGCACAATAAAAGAGTTTGCAGTTGTAAGAAGTATTTTTTTGCCATGCAAAGGCCACACTTTTTGCAGCAGATCCCAAAGCCATGGCCACCTCTGCTTCAGGAAGCCTCAAGCTCTCTTTTGCCCCAATTCTCACACAAATTTGGAGGGCACAGCTACTGAGAAGATAACTGCTCCTAGACAGAAACTCCAGGTCTCAGGCTATGACAACAATGATGGACATGAGAATAAACAGGGCTTCTCCTGCCCTTCAGAATCCACCTTAGTTCTGAACACTAATTCCCTAATTTCTCTCTTCTCAGAGCAACTATCTACCAGTTAAGTTTTGCACTCCCACAGATACAACCGCAGTTGAAGCCTTTTTCACTTGAGAGAACTTCACAAACTCCAGCTATTCCTCTGCAACCTGCCTGCTCTACCAGCATTTCCTTCCTTTTCCTTCCCCTTATTCCCCACCAGCRGTTTTGTTGCCACCTCAGCAGCCCAAGGAATGAACAAACTTCAGCCTCTACACAGCATAGCAGCCGTGTCTGCATCTTATTGCCTATGGCATCAGCTCCAACTAGAGAGATGTGCAAACGTTCAGTAATTCAAAGCTCCCACAGGCAGGGGCTTCTCTCTGCTCTTTAGATGGAGAAATTAAGTGAACTGAATGAAAGCTTCAGAGTGGCATGACTTTAGTTGTAAGGATATCACTGATTTACCCATTTCTATCACTTCTAAAATGTCAAAATGAGGAATAAAACAAAAACAGCACATAAACATATAATAACAATAGTACCAGCACTGTAGTTACAACCATTATTATAATATCCATCTAAACCCTATCTTAAGGAATATATAGCTTGAATTCCATTGAGTGAGTTGCTCTCATTATCATTCTTAGAATAACCTCCTATTTTGGTATGAGATTTGCTCGGGTTCAGCTGCATCTCTCCTCCTTGGGAGTCAAAAGGAAATTCAGAAACAAGACAGTAAAGTAACACCCACATGCACATGTGCCCGCAAGTTTTCAGTGTAGGAGTTGAGAAATGTAAACCATTTCAACATAAAAAATGAAGAAATTGCACTTTCTGATTGTGACTGTTACATTTTCAAATTCCCTGCTAAAGGGAACTTTTGCATTGGATGTCAATCATTTCAGTAAAGATCACTGGCTGTGCCCATAGAAACCTCCCCWACAGGAAAATTAACATAAGAGGTTGTTTTTCTTTGCTTTTAAAATACAATATTGTTGCTTCTCCTCCACAGATTGTAACATAGATCATAACATAACATGGCAGAGTGGTGGTTGAAGAGGATAAATCATATCTCAGAGCCACTCTTCTTCAGGGACACTATGCCTGTTTCAACATATATTTGATCCGACTTCAACCCATACTTGGAGAAACTACTTCTAACATTTTCCAAAATTTTAAATAAAGCATCCAAAATACTGAAAAAGAGACCAGTAAAAGGAAAAAAAAATTACCTGTAAATTGTTGTCTGTGACTCTGTTCCACCAAACCATATTGAGGGGCACCCCTGTTTTACACCTGTCAGCCAGACAGCCGATAGGGTTCTTGGATTTTCTTGTTTTTGATCCCACCGGAACTATCCTCTCATCCAGCATCCCCAGTCGATACTTCCTGGGCTACAAAAAAGAAAGGAGAGAAACCAGGCCACTCCTAACAACCCTCAGCTACAGCTACACCAGATATTAGGTGCTACACTGTGATACGATTTCTGGATTGGTGGAATAGGAAACAATTTGCAAGTAAAATTTATCTGAGACTGTTTCCTTTCAATCCTGACTATTTGCTGGTAATAACAATACTTAGAAATAAAATTTAAAAAACCTTCAGGTACTACTACTTAGTTGTTTGCAAAATTTTGCAACACAAGTCAGCCACTGAAATTGTATTTACTTTTTCATTTTTTTTGAATCCTGTGAAAATGAAAAGTAGCTTCAAAAAAAAAATTATCTATACTTCTTGCTAATAGATACCTTCAACCACTTCATCATATTGAACTCTAACACATAACTTGATCTCCAAGCAGGGCACTAACCCTGGCTTTTCCTTTTACAGTTAAAATTTGCCARCACTCATCTCCAGAAGACTTTGGAGAATTCAGTACAAGAAAACTGTAAACATCAAGCAGAACTTTCCTGGCAGTTACACCAGAACTCAGCAAGGRAAAAACTAGACTTTTGTTCAAGTTCATATCAACACACAGCCAGTTAATATCTTAAGTGAACAGAGATAAGAATTATCATAACATACTCAAACTTGAGAAAATAAAATATGCTTTTAACTATGCTTTCACTAAGAAGTGAAAATGCAAGAGACACTGAATCTCAATAGCAGTAACATTCCTATTACACTGTTAATGAATGCTACAATTTAAAAAACATGAACCTTAAATTATATTCATATAAAAAATTCCCACTATTTAAGGCTTTCAAACAAGTACTGGAGTTTCCCTTTTTTTTCCATGTTTTGAAACTAATGCGTACCTACCTAGATAGTAAATACCACTGAGGTATTACAGCAAGTATCTCTATTTAGGACGGGGCTTTTTATGCTGAATATAGCAAAAAAAATGGACCAAATTACAGGACTTGGGGTTTTTTTTTTTCTCTGTTTTTGATGTGAAAAATGCAACATCATCTGGTTTTAGACCACTTTTTCATTAATTAAAAACTTACCTTTATTCYGATACTTACTTCTTTTGGCACTTTAAGTATCTAAATATCATGCACAACTTAATACACATTTTAAAGCTTGTCCTCATGGAAAAAGGTAAGAATCTACATTTCCCCATACACAGAGATACATGCAAAGCATAATTGGACCACCCTGAAACATTTGCAAAACCTAAAATTATTTCCCTGAACTATTTCCCTGACAACTTGTACACTGAAAGTTTTGGAACGGAATAAAACACATATGAACTATTAGTAGTTCATTTGCCTAAACCAAAACAAGAAAACACAAAGATCCCAGCACTGACTATGAATTATGGAGGCAATAWATTGCCTGCGGCCCAATATGAGCARTTCRCAGTACTCTGAACAAGAATGAATTTTGCAGAACCAATGGAAATTTAGTCGGAGGTGCAATAGGCCCTCCTGTAATTCAAGGGCAAAGTGTTCACAGTAAAGCTCAATATTTGCTGCTTATATGGACAGTCACTCAACTGCTAACCAACCTATCACTTTAGAAATTGAAAAGGTCACTAATTTCACAAACTATAGAGCTATAAGGTCCGAGACACCTTCCACATACAATAGGTTTAGTTGGACTTTATGGGAAAGGTCTGAACGCAGCATTCAAGTTCCCTAGTCTGGACTGGAAATAATACTTTAGAGAAGAGATTTACCACTATGTCCTTGGCAGCTTCTTGATCTCTCTCAATGTCCTACCAAGTGCACAGGCACAGCAGCCTGCCTCAGATTACTGAACTGCAATTCAGTGTAGTCTATTCATAAAAGGCTTCTTGGATCTTTCATAATAAGAGGTGATCTATAAATATTTTGAAAAGGAAAATTAAAACAAAAGAGGAACCGAGCCAATGGAGAGGGAGGCTGTTTCCTTCACAGTGAGATTCAGATTCCAGGCAGTAGAATGAAGGTGTATTTTAGGTTTTACTGAAGTACCAGAGCCTGGGGATGAGGGAGGAAGGGGAGAGAAACAATGGCCAATTCTATGCCATGAAGAAATACAGAGCCCATTTGAATTCATTTACCTGTAGTTCACGGTCTTCCTGGAAGAGAAAAACCAAACCAATACAAAAAACACCACACACATACACACACCCCACCACCACTCAAACTAAAATGCTAAAGTATGGTGATTAGCTTAAAGAGGCTGATGAAGTTCTTTCATTTGGCAGTGTTTGATAATGAATAATGATTCCAAGTCTTTGGTTGTTGTTGTTGTTTTAATAACGAAAGCTTGGACAGTAAAATATGGACAATACTATTTTAGGTACATTAAATAAATCTCCACTAATTTGCATTGAAACCATTCTAAATTATACTCCATAAATTCCCTGAAAGACACAGATGTCTGTCACTCGGATGTAGTGTCAGGGCATAAGCAGACTAGAAGGCACAGAGAAGGTTCCTTCCAAAGGAGACACCCACTTGTCAAAAGGACTGAGCTGTTTGAATAAGCACCTCAACTGCGCTCTGGATCTGTCCTCTACTCGGAGCAGCAAACACTATCAGGGACAGAATGGTGCATCTTGAAACAAAAGCAGTAAAAATTAGTGTTCACTGATGATTTTTGTGACCRAGTATGTCCACTTAAGGAACACTACACAGTTCACTATGAATGATGGACGTTCACTATGGATGAACAACCTCTTTTCTTGGCACACTAGCAAGCATCTTGGATGATTACAAAAAAAGTAAGATTGGTTGCGGTTTTGCCRGTTTTTGCTTTCCTAAAGTCTTTTTATTAGACAAAAGCTCTTGTTCAGCCAAATAAGTGAAGGGACGCTTCAACATGCTGCACTTAAAAGAAGATAATTAAAATATTTAAAAACTACATAATCCCCAAGCATTTCTTATGCTGGGCTGAAATTGGGTTGCAGCTTGGTTGCAAGTTCCAACTGAATCATGAAACATCAGGGAAAAAGAAAAAGCACAACAATTTTGAATGAAAAATAAGGTCAAACTACAACTATTAAAATGAAACATATACACACACAGACACACACGCGCACACACACATATAAAGTGATTTCTAGCTATCCAAAGGTAGAGTTTAGTTCCTCCAGGGCAGAGGAGTGAGAAACAGCAGCAATTACTGGCTGCAAAGGTTTACAGAGGCAGGGAAAAGCTAACTGCCTTTAATTGCTAGCAACAGCTTGGCTCCCCASGGTGAGAAGAGTAAGCACCTTCCACCAGAGCTAGCAATTACAACCACTGCTCTGCCAGACCAGGCTGCTGCCAGCAATTGCTGGTACAAAGCAAGATTAGAGGGAACGTATTGAATTAAGAGATAAGCCTCAAAATCTGAGAAATGTTACACTAGAGCTTTTAGAAATCCCCCATAAAAATAAGAGGGGCTTTACAGAGTTGCACTGTCAYGTCAGAACACAGAGCAGTAACTTAATTAGCCCAGGCACCAGCTATTCCTCAAGCCAGCTTCTTAATGACCTGCTTCCCATTCATTCAATAGGAACTTCAAGAACGTGTTTAGCAGCTTGTCTCTTTTCTTCCTGCTTGTCACAGCAGCAATGCTGCTGCATTAGTTTTGTCCAGGGAACAGCAGAAACTAGGGGCAACTAGTGTATGTTGGGCAACACCACACTTTCTTCTTCAATTTAGGGGCCAAGTTTAGCATTCCAACACTCAAGCAAGCCATTATGGCTTAAACTACTGTGCATAATCTGAACTACAGTAAAGCTAGCTACATATGTGCTTYTGGACCACAGCAAATGCAAGTCATCTTCAGTCTTGGTCTTCTCCATCACATGCTGAATTAAGTGGCATTACTTTAAATCGCCATAGCTAAAAGCCAGTAGCATTCCTTAGGGGTCATATAACTGCACAGTGAGTTGACTGTGTCTGTACATACAAACAGAAAAAAAAACACTAGTATATGGGAGACAAAAGACTGAGTGTACAACATCTTAGTTTCCTATAACAAAATTAATCACTATATATGCTCTCAGGTTACATTTTTGACTTGTAAGACTTCAGTTTTGGAATAGAAGTTAGTGGTGGAAAAAGAAGAAAGAGGTTAAATATTCAGTGTATTAACTCTTGCAAACTAACAGCCAGCTACAAGGAAAGGCTTCACTTGCTATCATCCTTATCTTCACCCAGTAGCCATAACAGATTAGCTGGATTAAGATAATTCTTGAAACGAACAGTGTGAACGTCAATGTGTTCATGAAGGAGAAGGTCAGGGCTGCAGCCATTTGTGGGCACAATGGTTGAGAAGCATCATTAGTTAGAAAGGCAACAGCTCAGCTGGATTTGGTAACCAGTTCTGGAAACTGCTGCAGCCAAACCCTGGCTGGGGTTGCCAGAAGCATTCTAATACTTTTGCAAACCAGTCACACAAAAGGGGAAACTGTCCTGCCATTATTTTTCAAGCCTTGTGGCTAATGCAGAGCTGCAAACGTCTGCAGCAGTTKAGGCTTTTGCTAACCAAGACACTCTCTCCACTTCCCAGGGCAGGTTTCACTGCAAGCTCTTGTGGCTAGAGAGGCTGACAGACGACACTCACCTATTTCATGTTGACTTGGGAAGGCTGAAAGTAACTTTTTTGATTACAGCATTTAAAGATTTGATCAGTATCTTGAACAACTGTGTATACACGTTCAAGAGATACCTTCCAAGTCTTACTTACAGATCACATATACCTTGACATATGAAATCAAATTAAGCCTCCAACTCTAAGCAAAGACAACTTGTACATTAAAGTTGCATTTGTAGTTATCTGCTTCAGCTTGTGAGCCACACCTGGGAAAGACCAAGTGACAACTGAAAAATTAGACATTTAAAGTTTTTAGAAGTCCATAGGTCATAAAATATGCCTGATCTTAGGTGAAAAAATAAAATAAATACGCAAAGGTCCCCTTTAATTAGAATTCTAAGGTAAGTGTTGCACTCTAAAGAGGTAAAAAAAATACAATGTGTCTTCATTAGCATAAAAAYGGTAAATATACATAAAAGGAAGTTCTTTAAAAATGTGGTTAACACACAGTGCTCACTAACCCACAAATAAAACTGTGTGAAAACAATATTCAATCTCACGTCACACTCAAAAAATGAAAAAGTAGCAATTACTAAGGCAGCCACAGAACACAATCTGTGAACAATTTCACTAAGTAACAGTTCAAGAAAAAACAGTAAAATAGATTAAACAGTATCATATTCTAGACTGAGAGGTAATTATATATTACATGTGAACATCTATTAGGATTCTCTACAAGGGTAATCTGTTCTCCTGTATGCCTGCAACAACTTTCCTTTTGCATCACTTGCAAACTGTAATGCTTTATTAGTGTGGTTGAGATGCATCATCTCAACAGGAAATTTTCAGGTTAAAAAGAAGAATCCAGGTGTATTACAAAGCCTGCGCAACCACAATTTAAGGCACAGTGACAGAGGTTAGAAATGACCCATCAAATCTTCAGAATGTGCTTTATGTTTCTGCGAGAGGTAAGCTCTGGAGATTGTTAAACACGAGATATCTGTCCCAGGGTATGTTCCACCAAAGCCAAACACAGCGAGGCAAAACACTTCCCATTTTCATCTTCAGGGAACACCACTGARGAACATAAAGATCAGGTATTACACATGATGACACGATGGAGATGGGAAGTGTGAGGAAGTGTGTGTAGCCTCCTAAGAGGTAAGGAAGTCAGATGGTGCACAGGACACTGAGCCTAGGAGAAGGACAAGTCTTCGGAATTGGGTTTCTACAGGAGCTGCAGTCACCATTATTGTCAGCTTGCAGGTCAACAGGGAAACTCCCCTTGTTGTCATTAGACAAGTTTACATTTATAGTGTCAGGCTTGCAGGCAATCTTGTTTCAAAAGGATTTTCCTCCACACATTTATTACTGCTGATTAAAGTGTGTGGATTACAAAGGTTTGCTGCCCAGACTCATTTGCTCTAAGTCTCCAGAGAGAGCATCAAATAGCAAGAGCCTCTTCTGGATGAATGTCACTCCAAGTAACGTTCCCTATACTTTCCATTCTAACAATTTAGACTTAGTCCTGGCTTCTAGCTATCTAAAGCCATTGGAAGGCATTCCAAATACCAAATAAACCACTCTTTCAAGTATATCCAAAGAAAATTGTAAAAACAGCATTAAAATTGTGCTAGAAGTTCTGCATTCTATAGCTAAGCAGCTCGCTCCTTACAAGTTGTGAATTACCAGTGGTCTTCCCCAAGCTGCAGCTAAATGGTTCAGAAATGGAAACAAACCTATGACAGGAACCTTTCAAAAAATTCAGTTTCAGGAAGCCTTGAAAGGATGAATGAAGAAAACCAAACCAAAAAAGGGGATGAGGAGTGGGTAATGCTTTTGCCTGTCCTGTAAAGATAACTAGTGAAAAGCAGTGGCACCCTTTAGCCTGGATTGGTGGTAACAGTCTCAGAACAAATTTAAACTGGCTTTCATAGCTTTGTTTTTGTTTTGTTTTTTTCATATAAACTACATTAAGCTGTCGTCCCCKTGGCAATAGGCTTTCATCATTCACATTGCACATATTTTTATGACTTGTTTATCAGAACCACTAAAAGGAATCCAAGGAGTTTTCCATCCAAATTACGTCCAGGTTTTTAAAGGAACATTTTTATGGATACTGGTAAAAGTCAATTTAAGGAAAAAAAAACCAAATTCAGGATGCTATCCTATTTTAAACACACATAAAATGTATTTGAAGGAAAAAAACCCAGCGTGGCATTATTTTCAGAAAAGAGGGTTAGTTACTACAAACTCTAGCTTTTGTTCCATGCTTCACAACCTACTTGTGCATTGTAGGTTAATACTTACCTGAATATCCCTTATAGGAAATTCACTTTAAGGTTGCTTGTCTTACTGCATGTGGAGTTACAACAACAGACAGTAAATCCAGAGGGGTTTACAGCTGACAGAACCTCCACCAAGGCTCCATCTACAGAAATACTTAGCTCCTTTGATTTCACTTTAAGTATCCTACAAAATGTCTTTAAATAGTAATCTTAGTTTTCCTGAAATCTAAAAATTAAAATGCAGTGTTTAATAATTTCTAAACAGTAAAAAGGAAAACAACCTGTAGAATGATTTTATAAAGGACTATAATTACATTTTAAGCAAAAAAAGAAAGCATAATTGATTATCTAAAAGCAGTAATCAATGTTTTTAAAACTTGAAAATATCCATAAGCAACTTAAATAGCCCAGTCACAAGACAGTGTCAAAAACTCTCTGGTTAATTAAAACAAAGATATTCAGAATTATGATAATCAAGTCTTATCTTTATAGTTCATTTTTAATAAAATACAAAAGTCCATACGGCTTGCCCTCTGTTAAAGGACTGCCAGGATAGCACAACCAGYAATATCAGTGACAATAAACTTTAATAAACTTAACTTCCTTAAARTAGCTACATAATGCACTTTTTTTGAAAAACTATGGTTTTATATAACACAAGTATCCAATTTTTAGAAAGTTTCAAACAACGAAATAGCTATAAATATTTAAAACATCATAACTGGTAAAGCAAAGTGATTACTCTTTTTTCACTTACCAAGACCGTATTATATCTGTCCTCCAAGTCAGTGATAAACGAAGGAAATGCTGGTTTTGCCAGCTAGTTCAGAACAAACAAAACCTTAGCCCTGGGCTCTTAGCAAGAAAATGGAAAGGTTTTTTTCAAATAGCAGATGTTGTAACCRACTACATTCGAGCTAGTCACCAAGGCTCCCTTTAGAGTCAGTGAACAGAAACAGGCACACCTACAAGGTTACTCATGAAAACAGATACCAAACATTGGCCAGGTAAGTTAAGCCCCCCAAGGTCTATTTAAGTCCCACTTATTAGGAGCGTGGGCACCCACACTAACACTTTTAAGTATTTCGCACTTAATCATCTAGTGCTCTCGAGTAAATTCCTTAATATTTTTTGAAACTGTAATATTCAAATGCGTTAGGAAGCCACATCCATGTCTATTTGCAAAGTTGTCTGGTGATCAAAGTCAACAGAAAGTGACAGTAAAGATGGGATTCAATTCTTGTATCTTTATCAAAAATAGTGCACTTAATCCAGTCAGGTTTATTCTTTTCCTACATTTCTTAATGAGTTGAATGTTTCTTTAAGCTGCTCAGCGCTCTCTACCGACTACAGAGGGAGCCTGGATGTCTAGATTTTAAGACAGCTCAATTCATATTAGATGACAACCTCATGATTACTGTATTAACAACCTTCTGCAGAGCACACATTACCAAATAGCAGTCATAATGAATACTGAATTATCAACATACATGCAAAACAGAAACCTCTTTCCGTTAATGCCATTTTTTAATGTCTGAAATATTACAAAATAGGGAATCATTTTTCTACCCCAACAGATAAATACTTTTCTTACTACTATTTTTGCAAGTAGCTGTTTGCTGAGTCTTTATTGTGCATAAAAYGGACAAAGTGAGAAAAGGTTCTACATTAGTCTGAAAGTTATCTTAAACATTTGTATTTGGTCTCCATTTTGTTTTTAGATTAACTGTGATCTAATTTTTGGTACCAGAGGCAAAAGCCACTGACATACTTGTGTATGAAAGCCCATCCTCTTTTGTGGATATGTTTGTTATATATGTCTAGATATCTAACATATAAACACACACAGACACACACACACAGACACACACATATATATATGGCATTCAATTTAACTCATCCATCTTGTGGWTGGAGTTAGAGAAGAAATTATGCTTATTTTCTTTCTTACTGCTTTCAGAAAGCACTTAAACAACACATTATTTACATCAAACTTTCAGAGCATTATCACTGGCATTAAGGAAAAGGGCAATTTAGASACCCAATATAATTTGGATAAATAACAATATTAGGAAGCTAACATTCTACAACAGCACTTTATTTCAAGGAACATTAGTCTGATCAGTCAACTACAGTAATTATCTTCAAGCTCAATCTTTACCTGCAAGAATGATACACAAAGCTCACAATTATCAACACACAACTAAAGCTCTATGGAAAAGTCACAATGATGCTCATGTAACGTGCTTGCAAGTCCAGGCATTACTGACTACAGGGATGTTTGGAATCATGTGGATAATAAAGGAAGTAAAAYATTAAACTCCTCAGCAAGATCTGTTAACTGTTTGAGGAGAGATTAATGCCTTTTTAGAAAAGCTATAGTTCACAAAAAAAATGGAAAGGATCTCTGGTGTAGCCAGACTTTATACTTCAGCACATGTCTAAACACCATGACTTGCTTTGGCATAGGCCAGTCAAAAGTTTTGAAGTTGCTGTCTAGCTCTGAGCAAAAGAAAARATTTCTCAGTAGAAATCAAAAAGGAAAAACATATTTATATATGGGTTAAATTATATATATAAAATATATATAGGTTATATATATAATATATAGGTTAAAAATATTTATATATATAGTTAAACTAAGGGCATTTCAATCAGTAAGAATTACTCTGAATCATGTACAGATGGGGGAATGATTCTTATTGCATTCGAAATCTTGTTGCCACAAAGGCACAAGATAAGCCACTTACAACTGGCACAATATTGTACCAAGATGGTACCATAARGATAAATAAAATTCTGTGTACTGCATCCTAATGTTCAGATTTAAAGCATTCTTATAGACTTAATTTTGCAAGTGCTTGGAAATTCCTACCAGCAGCAGCCGGATAATCTAGCATAGCATATATTTAAAAAAGAAATATCTTGCTTGTAATCATCAGGGAAATATTAAAATAACCTAAATAAAACAAGGATGATTCTTCTAATATTACTAGCATTTCCAGTTATTCCAGGTCTTCTTGTCAATTCGCATGCAAACATACTACTTAAGATTTAGTTGTTGCATACCTTCCTCCTTTGAGACAGGCTGAGGGCAGCAAAGTCATTAAACAAAGATGAATTTGGAGAAGTTAACGGATCTGTTAAAATAACAATAATAAAAATAAAGTTACCATATACGTCCAATACTAAACAAAAAAAATTTTTTTTACACTTTATTTCTGAATGGGAAAAAATCCTTTCGTCAAAACAGATTCAGCAACAAAACTGCTAAAAAACACAAAATTTATTAGAATACATGCAATTGCTCAAATGAAATGGGGGTCATTAACAGAATTTAATAAGCTTTTAATTGCTATTGATACTGACTAATATGCATCTAACATTTGAAAGCCTTTACCTCCAATTAGTGATCTACCTGTAATTAGTGATCTACATAATACTCTTGCAAGCAATAATACGAATCTTACCTGGCCTACTGTCACTGTTGCACACAAAATGAATCATAACTAAAAGCAGCAAAAGTCTGAGACTTCATTGGTAACTTTTTATCGCTGTTCTTTGTCCCTTCACACCCCCTCCAGCACTGAAGCACCCAGAACTGTATAATGACTGTAGATGCAACTTAAATGACAAAATCCAAACTGAGTAGAGCTAAACCATAAATTACCAGAAGAATGTTACCTGTAAACAATGTTTTTGTAAAACAGTTTCTTCAACACCAATCCACACCTTAGAAGATTAACCTTGGAAGATTAATCTGATAACTGATGAGCAGTTCTGGATGTGGGAGGCAAAGGAGGCAGGGGGAAGGAACTGAGAGAAGTGTGGAACCTCTTTAATCCTTTACAGAGGCTTCAAACATGTTTCCCAAAGCCAGTCTTGTTTCTCAGCTTCACATGCATCACTATCTGACCTATTACACAGTCAAATTTTAATTTCATTTACAACTTTAAAATTCCACTGCCTTGAACAGCTAGTTGTTCAGCACAACAAAAGAAATATAATTCATGACAGAATGGTACTGTCAATTAACTAGGAAGTGAAAAAACAACCCACAAATTTTAACATTAAAGAAAATGAATATTATAGAAATAGCTACTAACATATATAGAATTTTAAGYGGACTAGCTATAGCATTAGCCATGCAAATGTAGTACTGGAAAGCCATTTACACAACAATTTTTAGAGTAGAAATATATTCTAAATGCATGTCCTTGTCATAAAGGAATAGCAATCTCCTTAAAGAAGTCAGTTTGCCAGCTACAGTTAATCTACAAGGTCTGTTAAAATCTGAAAAGTAATTCTGAAAAGAATGCCTAGTTCAGTAATTTAACATTCTCCCTGGTGGCATATTTTTTCCATATTACTATATATATTTATTTTCCTAGATAGCAATATTGTCGATAWATTGGGATCTCACTTAGGGACATGAGTTTAGGAGCATCAAATTCATGAAAATAGATGTTTAATTAATAGTAGTATCACAACAGCAGAAAAGCAGCCCTGCACTATACAGATATTTTGTTTGGTTGAAATGATGCACCCATTAAGAAGTAAAAAATTCTAAGATGTGAAATACTACAAATTTTCAACTGAATTAATATTTCTAATTTGTGTGTCATTTCACAAAAAAAGTACACTCAGAAATAATTAGCTGCTTATACAGCTCATTGTTATTATTTGCTACTATGGCCATACTTTGGCTTTAAAAGAGATATAAACCTTGAAGCGACAAAACTTCCAAATAAATAAAAAGATGGACAGAGTCTGTATATTTCAACTAAGATAATAAAACTGAACATTAATTTCACCAAATAACTTACTTAAATAGCACAATACAGAGAGACAGCACTGCGCCGCAACGTAAGTAGTTGCTTAAGCTATCAGCACTTTATAGAAGATACCTCCCTCGCACTTCCACTGAAGCAACAAGACTCACAGACTTTAGATTACAAGGTAATCAAAGCACATTACTGCTTTTGAATACCATCTCAAATCAAATCAGACAAAAATCAACTACCTTAAAAAATTCTCTTTGGTAAAACTTCAGTTTCCAAACATCCTTTTAAGCATATTACTGACAGAGTTCTTACCATGGCCTGCATACTGCTTGGCACTGTCATTGAGAAGGCTAGGGGAGCTGCTGCTGTTTGTCATCCTCTGCAAAAATAAGACATAGAATTGTACATATAAATACAGCTATAGGGGACTAGGTGAGGGCAAGAGAGACCATATTTAGATTTCTTTTCAGGAAGAAGCAATGAAACCTGTGCACATACCTCATTTTATAAATACACTAGTAGATACCAATTAGCAGTTAACCAAAGTGTTCTGTAAAATAAATGTTTCCCACGGGAACAATGCAAATAAAAGTGACTCTTCTCTAAAATTTAACACTATCTTACAGAATTTCTTCTGGAGGTTCTACCAGACCTATGGCTTTTTKCCTGTATGTTGTCAAAGTCTTAGATAAGCCAATTACTTATCTCCTTTAGACATTCCTGCACACTGTACTTGTGAAACAGCTCCTCCCTTTATTATACACTATCATCAGAATACCATTTTTTTTCCAACTGAAAATTCAAACATGATACTCAAATTTAAGTTTTTGTTTATTTTTAAATTAAAAAAATGGACCTTCAAAGTCACATGATTCTTGTAAACCAGTAAAATATCTGAAACTCTCCCAAAACGCTCCCCTCAGCCCCACATGCTTCCCCTCCATCCCCTTGAGGACAGCAGCTAGCAAGCACGACAACGTTGCTCTAAACAATAACTCTGCTTTTAAACTTAAATACAGCAGCTTCTCTCCTTACTCCTCTCCTCCCTTAACCAGCATTCTGACTCGAGGAAAGTGGCATAAAAAGTAACGCTATGTTTCTACYGGTACACTAAACAGCATCAGGATGTGTTCTCCATCACTCAGTAAGCATGTAAATAAACCGTTAAAATATTCCCTGGCACTGGAGGCTGGAAAATATTCTCTGGAGGCTTTTGGCCTCCATCAACCGGAGTCTCCCGGCCAATTTCAGGCAGGGTTCAGCAGTGAAAAGGTTCCAGGGATCCCTTCAAGGGGCCGGTTTGCGCGCGGCCGCCCCATCGCCTCAGCGGGCGAGAGGCCGCAGCRCAAACAGGCCCGGTCGCCGCCAGCTGGGCCCGAGCAGCTCGGAAATTTTCCAGGCGTGTTTAACTTGGTAGTCTGGACACAGAGTACGACACAAAACCGGTCACTGGGTTTGCTCGTTGTGTGTTTTTATTTTTCCATTGCCAGGCCGAATGTTGGTGGCAGATGGCAAGGGAGGAAGTGTGTTGTGCAACACTGCAACGGCATTTCATCCAAGGCTCAACCACATGGAGTAAAACTCTGGAGTAAATATTCTGAAGTAAACTCCATAAAGAACCAAAGGAGAGAGAAAAAAATATATATTATATATATATGTGTGTGTGTGTGTATATATCTCAATACAAGTTGGGGAGTTATATTCAGTATGGCAGAACTCTAACATACAGCAGTTCAAAAATTTCTCTCAACATCTTGCTCAATCTAAGTTCTGGTGAAGTCAGTGGTACTATGAAAATTGCAGAAATCTCAGATTTCAGTACTAGCATCTGAAAGAATGAATAGATTTTGTRAAGTACTTTATGTGGGGGGTATTTTATATAATAAAATAGTCGATGCTGCAGGAAAAGAACTTTGAGAAAGTTGTGCAGACTCACTTAGGTATCTAAACTGATGATCTTCAGGTGTTACCCTCTCCATAGACATCTCAGCCAAGCTACTGGTCTCAGTTGACCTGATCTCCTTTACTTCCACGCGCGATAATTCCCTAGCCTATGGCCCTGCTGCTCTAGCAAGCTCTCTGTTAGTGTTGGTTTTCTCCAATACAGTGCTTCAGCCAGTACACACACACACGTGTATAGAAAATATAAATATATATATATATTTAAAAAACTAAATGAGTTAGTACTGCTGTATAGGTATACATACTAGTACTMTGTGTACGTATGAATATACATACTTATATAAAATGATAATAAAACATGACCTGTTCAAGACTTAAATGAAAACTACTTCTGATGGGTTTCTTACCTACTTTGAGGCATCATGTTTCATGTTGCTGAAGATACAAACTTCAGCACACGGCACACAACTCACAACAACGATTAGCAGTCACTCGATGACAACAAATTCTTTAACTAACAGAGATGCCTTCAGTGAAGCAACAAAAGTTACTTACTACTACAGAACAAAGGAACATGTCAGGAGACCAACAACAGGTTAGCAATCTTGCACAAGATGCTCATCCTATTACCCCAACCATAAAAACAAAATTAAAGGTTAAAGAAAAAGTCCAAGAAACAGCAGATTTCAGGATATTAACTTTTCTTTAGTAGTTGTTTTTAGCACAGTATTTGGCAAACAACCCATCAGGTGTCTCTATAGATAATGTTTTTATCTTCTGTCTCACCAAGKGCAAACATTTCTGTAGCACTGATAATTCCTTGCATTAAACAGAATTTACTTAYTAGATGCTGAAAAACAGCTGTGACATTTTTCATTCCCAAGTACACTAAGTGCAAAGAYAAATGATGTACAAAGAGCTAGAGAACATACACAGTGTAGTAGCTAGTATACATATCCTTTGGCTAGCACAACCAGTTTCTTAGTCAGTTAAAAAGCTAGCCATGGTATTTTGTTATTTGGAGCAAAATAGCTCTCTTACACCTCAAAAAAAAGTCTTTCTTTCAGTCATTATCAGTCACATTAGGCATCAGCTCTCCCAGAGATACAGACAGAAGCATCTCAGTGGTTACAGTGGGTCTCTGGACAAGCAGTTCAACATTCAGCAATGTAGACATCATGTACTAAGACTAAACCAAAGTTTATATTTTACTGGGCCCACAGATTTGCTCCAATAAATAGTATCTATAAAGCACCTTTTCCACAAGAAAATTCTATTTCTGATTGTGGAGAGAACAGGAATAAAATAATAAATGTAAAATACTAGTAATAAATATCAGTAATAAATACCAGTATATAAGACATTTTACACTGGGTAAGAACATAAAATAATTCCTGTATTACAGGGGTTAAACTGTTCCTACATTGTTTTCCTTTCCTGACTAAGCAGCAGGAAAGAGGGAAACAGCCTTTCACCAACATCTGAAAAGTGTCCTTACTACACATTTTGTTTTTCCTTAGCACTTGCCACACATCACCATTGATCCTTACAGGGGGAAGGAATTTAGCCATATAAACTGTATGCTAAAAGAAATCTTTGAGTTTGGCACAAAAACTATTCAGGTATTCATAAAATTCATGTAAATGTCTACTTCTGACACTCATGTTTCCCTAAGTATTTCAATGCAATGGATCTTTGGAGCAGGCAATAATTGCAGTACTGGGATCTGGTAGGCTATAGAAGACAGTAAAGCAGGTTGCTTAAGCTTGGAGACAGGCACCTGGTGCCATCAGAACCATAGTGCTTCACTTAGAGCTGAATATTCAGAGAGGAGGCCTGGAATGTGAATGGGTGGCTCCTTGGGGTGACAATCAATCCCAGTATGACCACTAAAACCACAGTATGTGCAACAGAGAGAGCAATAGATTGTAATGGGACGTGTTGTTCAGGATTCCGAAAGCAAGCTTCCAACATCAAATGAGCCTTTACAAAAGTCAAGATGCAAAAACATTTTACAAGAACCATAACTCTGGAGGGGAAAAAAAAGAAAAAACAAAACAAAAAAGCATTTCTCACTGATCTTTACTGAAGAAACTGCCTACAAACTGCAACTTGAATAAGGTAAAAATCTCCACTTTACCGCTCATTTCCATGATTTTCTTCATTTTACTCACCCTTATTATACATGTACTTTTAAGTTTCTTATGTTAAAGTTATTCAAATGAGTCCTGCATATAATCAGCATGAGATTTTTTGAAGTGTTATAATACTGTAATTTCCACCACACCCAAGAGCACTCAGTCTTAATGAAGGCTATTTCTACATCGGAAGTTTACCAAGGGTGGTGGTGGTGGTGTGGGGAATCTCTTAAAAAAAGGGAGAGGGGAAGAGAGAAAGAGGGAAATTGGTGCTACTTCTTATTTGTTTTCTGGATTTAAGTAACACTTCAGTATTTTAATAGCTTTGAACTACATTTATCCAAAATCATATTGAAAAAGAATCTAGGAAAAAGAAACAAGGTAAGAGCAACCATTAATAGGAACAGAAAACAAACTGCATTCTCACTACGCCTGCCAGGCAGCCAGTCTGGAAGAGGTTTGGATTTACAGCCGCACRTGCTTTGGGCTTTAATACACCTGACTTTCCCCATATGGAAACTAACATGAAAAAAGCCCTTGTCAAAACTAAGTGACACACTCAAGTCACTCATTTCCRTATAATTTCCTTTACTGTGCCTGCCTGTTGCTATGATTTATTGCGGTTCTTTAAGCTGTAGTTCCTATTCCAACACCTGACCAAGCTGACTTACATATATCCTGCACTCCTTGCTGTAAAGGATCTGAAAAGCTATTACTGTTCATAACTCAAAAGTTTCTCTATCACAAAACTGTCACGCTCATCCTTATGCAAAGATTTAACATAAGGTTTTAGTTTAAAAATTTCATTGCCACTCAAATCTTCCATCTAGGAAAAATACACAGGCTCCTAAATTAAACTGAAAATATACAGAAGATTTTGCAAATACTATATTAATTTCCGGATATTCAAACAATTCCGATAGAGAAGGTGAGTATGCTCATTCAGAAAGGTGGTGGTTGTTGTTGTCATCTTTTATTTTAAAACTCTTTTCTCAGAACTAGGAAGAGTGATCCTGACTCTTCTCAGAAAGACTGTGTAAAAAGATTGTATCAGATATTCAGCTTGGGTCAAAGTGAATCATTATCTCGTCTAGACAGAAGACACTACTGCTTACTAAAGTTTCCTATTCAAAGCAGCTGTAAGTCCATGTCATCAAAAGGGTTATTTTTTACACATGTTTTAAGACAACACTGAAAGCAGACCAACAATAATGAAAAACAATTCACGTACTAAGCTATTTTTTTTTGAAGGAGACAGAAAGGAAGAAGTTTTACTGGGAATATTTCATCCTTCTGGGGCATACACAGTGCTATGTTTTCAAACACACACCCCTTCAGT